AATTGATTAACAAGTCTGGGGATTATATTTGTGAACTTAACACATTGTGCAGCAAATATTATAATCTTGACATTTTTCTGTAATTTTAAAAACTGAATCCATACAATATACAATACCTATCTTAATTTATTAATCTAGTCATGGTGTCTGCTCCTATCAAGGTGGATTATAAACTGAATCTTACTAAATTTAATGAAAAATGTCAAATTTTCTAAAAGCAGTTCCTGTCGACTCAAGGGGTCGGTTGAGGTTATTATGTATTGCATTGTTCATGACTCAGAACAGCTGAGGTATTGATTGTAGCATTAATAATTTAGCAAATTGATACAATGTTTTTTGCACCTTACAGTTGTAAGGGCTGTTACCCTGCTCTTTCCCTCCTCCCACTGAAGATTTTTGAAAAAAATATAATTGCTCTTTATAAAGTATATAAGCTTTTTCTATTCTCCTAGTCTATTATAAGTCTCTTTCTTTTCCTTCAGTCAGTATCTAGATATTTAGTACCACATTATGTACAAATAACTAGGTTGCATGTATGGAATATATGGGACTTCAACAGCTGCCCCACCCAAGTTTTTTTCAGCCTATGGCGATTATTACATTTGTTCTGTCATTGTGAAATGTACCTTTTCTTCTTTCATCAGTGAATTTGCTTCTTACAAATATGTTATAATAAGGTGACCAATTGTATCATACCTTTGTTCAGAAGGTTGCGAAGAACGTCAATTTTTCTAGGTGCAATTCCTGTTGACTCTAGGTGTCAGCTGAGGATGTGACGCATTAGGTTGTTCATGACCCTGCTGATTGTTTATACTTCTTTTCTGCTCTTTTGTTAAAAAATCTATAGCATGTCTGGGGTTTCCATTATTAAGGCCACTAGTAGTAAAACGACCAAAGGCATAGAAACAATGCCTTGGGCTTATAAGTATTTATAAAAAATTAAAACATACTTCCCAAAAGGCCAATTAAAGACAGAGATTAAGTGCAGTGTCCAAAGGATGACACTATAGCGCCAATTTGGGGGGAAAAATGCCATTTTCGGATTGGGATTTTTTCTATAATCAAGACAGCTATTCAAGTGATTCAAACGACCTCATAAAACTGGTTGAAAGCACTTCAATCTGGTACCAGGGAATTGTCGTAAAGGGATAATAACTCTTCGTATGAGATCTATATTTCACAATAAAATCATTATGAATAACTCATAGAAATATAATATATTCTGTTTTACCACAAAAACGGCAGTTATAGCTATTATTCTGATATCTGAACTTGTCTTAAGACCACGTGACCTCCATTGATGGCTATACTCTGTTAAAATCTCTTAAGAGTTTTTAACAAATACCAAACTTTTTAGGAAAAAACCAGGGACTAACTTTGAATGTAAAAATGGATTCATTAACCATTGGTAAGTATGGAAAATTGTTGTTTACTCCAGGAAAATTCATTTTTTGGCCAAAACTAAGAGTTATTATCCCTTTAAACGATTTACTTTTGATTTTATCATCTTTTACATTAAATTACCCCATATTTCAATGGGTTATACACTTCAAAAGACGATAACTTTCAAACAATTTCCACCAACACCCTTGGCATCAGACAGTAGTCCACATTTTCAACAACAATTAGTGCAATTTTCATAACGATCAGTTGCTTAGATAGGGAGATATACCTGAAACCGATTCACTTATCTCGTCAATCTGGAAAGCTGTTAAAACCGCCAAAAACATTCACAGGGAACGATCACATGGAACTATTGCTCATTGTCATCTAAAAATATTTTTTTGGGTTCTTTGAAATGCCAGAAAATCGTGCTTTTAATACATTTTCTGATCACATGTTAGACTTGTAAGCGTGCTGCCATTTTGATTAACAGCTCTGGAGAGGGCCCTAGCCTAGTGATGTCAAGTAGGGTGTCAAGGATATGTTGAAGGAAGTGCTAACAAAGGCAATTATGTGTAACCGCAATTAAGAGGTGTGAAGTTGTATTTGAACGTTTCAATGGGTCTTCCTCGGCAATTGAATAATTTTACCTGGGAGATTCCTTCTCTGCAAAGTGATCAGATGAAACTGTCTGTTGAGAGCAAATGGCCATCGCTTGTGTAAATATGAGTTTTTGACAGGTAACGCCACAGGATTATTTTCATGGCACTTGGTAATTGTCAGGTCAACGGAAAAATCCAGTGATTACTTCAGAGCGGTATCTCTCGAAATGCCAGCTAAGATAAAGGGGAGACGCTCAGCTGCACAAGAATCAGCAGTAAAAGTGGCTGAGAGGCTTTTGAATAAAATGACAGAGTGTGGGTGAATTTTGAAACCACGAGCGTGTTGATTGTAAAAATGTATCTATTCCTATCTTTTGAAGCATGTAAAAGTTGCGTCGGCATTTTACTGTGGATTGCGTCTAATACCAGATCATTCACCGTACTTAAGGCCAACATGAAGTTATTAATTATTTTATAAATAGGTCTGATTTTCTTTCTTTCCTCTGGAAATGCATTTTTTTAAAAATTGTGTTAAAACACAAACTTTTCTCTTCCCCATAGCGTACTTGACTTCTTCAGTGCTTAGCTGATGTAAGACTTATGACCTATTACTGCACACGTAATCGACCAATAACTCAGTAACTATGCTCCGCCCCCTCATGGCAATGGCCCTTAGCAACAGAGGCATGGCTTAGTCGTCAAAAGACACATTTTGTGATGCAAATTCAAAAAAAATTATTACATCCAACGTAAGATACTTTTTTGATTAACATAAACACAAAAAACTTTAAAAACATGGTTTTCAGTGTAGTTTACCCTACTACTGGCCTTAAAGCCTTTGCTTACTGTATTGAGAAAAATGTTTTTCTGCACCTTATGGTTGTCAATTAAGGCTGTATTCACACCCCCTAACCCTAAGATTTTTGAAAATGTTACTTGTTTGTTCTGAAACAAAGTTCACAGATATGTGTTAAGCATCAATTTCTGCCATAGAAAGCACCTGTTAATCAAAATGTTTGATTTTCACCCAATCCTATTCAATACAGGTTTATTCACAGGTTTTATTTGCATTCCAAAAATGTTGAATTCATTGACCTTAATAATACTCATAGCTGAAATTTACACCAGAAATGGACTTTTTGACCCATTTTGCCTATAAAAATACCTGCCTGTAAAGTTTTCTAAAAAGTTCTTATTCACCCTACCCTGCTATTGTAGTTAATGCTTGCAATGCGGTGATCCACCCAAGCATTTTTCTTAGCCTATGGCTGTGATTGCCATTTGATCTGTCATTGTAAAGTGTTCTTTTTCTTCTTACATGAATGAATTAGCTTCTTAGACCCCATTTCCAGAGATTAGATCGATCTACTTTAGATCAACCTAACTCCATGGGGGTTCAAGCTAAATAGCTGTCAGCCAATCGGACACGAAAGTTAATTACCCCCTTACAGCTTGTAGTAGGCGGGACGGACATTTAAGCCGGATTATCTGACAGTAAGGCCACACTTTTTTATTTTTATGGATGACATCCTCTGGGGACCCCGAAATCGGTGTGAGAGGGCGAAAAAAAAAAAAAACAGTCCAAAAAATGCGGCTAAAGGAATGCTGTCAGTACATAGCTGGAAACACAAATTTACCACAGAAACACGTATCATACTAACAATATGTCTTTATCCATGCTCTCAAAATATTAAAGCATTGTGAATACTTCGTAGAAAGATAAAAAAATGTCATGAATAGACGGGCCCGTAGCCAGGGGGTTAGAAAGAACCACCCCTTTTGCTGGGAAAAGGTCCACTCTNAAAGTCATGAATAGACGGGCCCGTAGCCAGGGGGTTCGAAAGAACCACCCCTTTTGATGGGAAAAGGTCCACTCTGGGTAAAATTTGATCTAGATACATTAAGTTTTTATGGAAAATTGTCCACTTTTTCAAAAAAAGACCCCCCCCCTTTTGAAATTGCTGGCTACGGGCCTGATAGACATGCTGCATATTACCCAATCTATTTAAGGTTATTTCATGCATTTTGTTGGTATAACAATCAATAAAACAAATATCAAACAAACAGCATGTCTTTATTTGTACTCTCAGAATATTAAAGCATTATGAACACTACACAGAAATATTAAAAAATGATGCAAAGATATGCTTAATACTACCAATTCTATAAAAGCTCATTTCAGTCGATGCCATTTGGTCAACTTCGACTCACATGAAGCAGCCAAACTGTCGGGTGGCCTGACCGACCTACAGCCCACCAAATACCTCGACGCCCTGTCGACCCTTTTTTTCGCTACAAAAAAACCTGGTATGTGTTGCTTTGGACAGAATATCACTGACATTTTCCGGGCGATAATTGCTGGCCGCCGCCAGCCTTTCGCATAATTGTAAAAAAAGTGGATATCTCCATGCCCAATATCAATGGCATAACAATCCAAAACGACGGCCCCGTTCTCTTTATGACTTTATATAATTAATTGTCCTGTAATTTGAAAGTAATCCTAGAGATGAATTTGATGGCAAAGCGGCCATATTTCCACGTGGTAGTAATACGCATGCGCAGAAAGCACATTTTCCGGCAAATTCAATAACGACGTTTGCGACAACCGACTTCGATGGGGGGGGGGGTGATTTTTTTTTTTTTTTTTTTTGGAGAACGGACGAAAATCGGTGCGCGCGCAGGATGTCATCCATAAAAATAAAAAAGTGTGGCCTAATCTAGTGAGACTCCCCGCGGGATAGATCGATCTAAAAGCTCTGGGAATACAGCCTTACACATGCTTGTTATAATATGATGATCAGTTGCATCATAGTTTTGTTAATGACATCTATCCCAATTGTTAACTACCCTTATTTCAGATCATATTATCTGAATGTTTGTGTCATGCCATATACTGTAGGACACTTTGGGTCTGGTAACAATGAATTTTAATGACCTAACTGCTGTGCACTAACATGTAATAATTTAGCAATGGTCTAATATCTTTCCTTTTATGTTGAACTTCATCTTTCACAGAAACCACAAGGCATCTTCTCAATCTTGGATGAAGAGAGTCACTTCCCCAAGGCGACAGATCTTACTCTGGCCAGGAAGCTACATCAGGGACCAGGTAATAGGAGTCGTGGTTTGCAAAACTTGATAAAAATTCAAAATTGATTTCAAGCATACCGGCATATTTAAGTCAAATATCATAATATGATTGGCAGCAAGATAATTAAATCAGTATTAGAATGGTTTCTTTAGGGGAAAATAAAATAAAACTACTTTCAATTTGAAAATTTTGTCAGTAAATTTTTATGTTTTATGTTAATGTTCAGGAGTAGTCATTGGGAACTATTTTCAAGAGAGGTTAAGATACCCCAGGGACCTGGCTAACCCTGGGGACTGCTGCCTCATCTAGTTGCATTGGCATATTTGAAAAAAATAAATAAATAATTTCAAAGTTTGATAACCTCAACAGTTTTAAAGACAACTGAAATTAAGTATGTTTTTGGGAAACCATTGTTTTACATAAATGCTGAAAATAAATGGCTCAAAGGACAACCTTTCTTAGATTGGCACTCTGAAAAATTAAAAATCTTAAGTAAAAAATATCATGCTGGTCTGTTTGACTTCTGAGGTGTCAGTGTCTGACAGTTTTGACACCTGTCAGTTTATTTTTGATGTGGTGATAATATTAAGAATGTTTCATTTTAACACTTGAAATTTTCAGGGTTGACCATTAATAATGTTACAGTACTGTGTCATCTATCGGCATCAGATCTGTACGAAATTACAATTTTTAAGGATCGACATAATACACTGCACACTTAAAGGTCAACATTAAACTTGTTGTCCTACTTTGTCAATATATAAGATACTCTTTTTCCTTAAATATAAGGTCTCCCTAGTAGGGATCTACTGTCTTAGTACACAATGGGTACACTGTAACTTTTAGGTAAGACCTCCCCAGGGATCTACCTACCCCCCAGGGATGGAGGCCCCACCTTTGCCGTGATGCACTATGCAGGCAAAGTACAGTATGATGTGTGTGGAATACTGGATAAGAACAGGGACTCCCTTCCAACCTCTATACTCTTTACCATGAAAAGTGAGATCATTGTTATAATTATATTTTTTATTGTTCAGTTGTAGTAAATCCAGTATTACAGATGGCATCAAATCTATACACAATCTCCATATTTTTTATGGAAAGATTGAAACATTGTATCTAGAAATACAGGACTGGTATATCTGTCATCTGCATCCGTCTGATCTCTATCCCTTTGGTGTCTACATTATTGCTTTACAGTATTATCAATCACCTCTGATGGGCTTAATATTTGGAAAATGTTGACTGGCAAAGATTTCAGCATTGTTCTTTAAGTTTAATATAACAAAAGACATCAATCTCCTATTTGTGTATTTTTCATCTCCTCCAGCCAGTGATAGCCTTCAAATCAAGGAAATGTTTCAAGGTAAAGTAACCAGGACCGGCTCCCTGGCTCCCAGCACTAGACAACAGAAATCTAGGAAGATTTCTGGCACCAAGTCGGCCTTTGAATTCTTCCAGAAGAGGAAAAGTAGGAAGGAAAGCAAGGTAGTTGTCAGAGTTTATCACTGTGTATTTGTATGTATGCACATATGCAGGCTCGTGTACTTGTATATGTGTGGATGTATTTGTTTCTGAATGTATTTGTGTATATTTGTGCAGTGTGTGTGTGGAAGTGTTATTTGAGAGTATGCGCATGTGCACTGTTAATTTTGATGTGCTTGCACATATGTATGACCATGCATAATGATCATAGTAACATTTTTGCTCAGGTGAATGTATATGTGTTTGTGGTGAATGTGTCAGATATATATGTGTGTTTATTAATGTACATGTATGTATATATGTGTTTGTATGTGGGTGAGCATGACTGTGTTTTTGCAATGTCTTAATCAAAATCAGATTGGATTGTGTTATGTTGATTAAACCAGGAGGGTGAGAAATCAGTGCATTTGATTGTGTTAAATGATGACAAAAATGAGTTGTGTCTGATTAAGTTTTGTAAATATCAATTCCAGTTTGGTAAGGCCAGGAACAAACGAGAGCGACCTGTCATGGGAACAGAAAGAAAGGGGGCGCTGACGGTGGCATATCATTTTAAGGTATCAGAACTGTGTGCTTATAATGGTAGATATAATGAAGAGATTTGATCAATCATCTTTGCATAACCTGTGTATGAGTCCATAAGTTAAGAATTTTGGAATAACATAATATTCAAAGGTGAAAGGATGCTTAACTGTATTTTTTGTAAGAACAATTTTTTTCATTGTTTTATTATTTTTTCTTAAAATGGTGAGATTATCTATTTCTGGTGTTAATTTGTTGGACATTGAATTTTATGGAAGAGCATTATAATATGAAACAAATTAAAGATATTAGATTTGCCTGAGTGATTTCTTCATAAAAATTCAAAATGGATTTTGAGCATACTGGTATAAAGTCAAAATGTCATAATATGATTGGCAACAAGATAATTAAATCAGTATTAGAATGGATCCTTTCTGGAAAGATGAACTCAAGCCACTTTTATGTTGTGTTACAGAATTCTCTAGCAGATCTGATGGCCAAAATGAACTCGGCCAGCCCTCACTTTATCCGCTGCATCAAGCCCAACATGGATAAGACCGCCCTTGTCTGTGTGCCTGAGTATGTGCTGGCGCAGCTCAGGTATTCTGGTGTCATGGAAACCGTGAAACTAAGACAACGGGGCTATGCCATGAGGATCTCCTGTGAGGATTTCCTTACCAGGTAATTCTAATTTTTTGAAAAATAATAATTATAACATAATAATAATAGATGAAATAAGTGGATAAATAATATTAGAATGAGAAAAGGAAGAAAAATAAAAAAATGATAATTTTTTACTTGTAATATTATTTACTGAAGCGTATTTGTACAATGGTAATGATTATTAAAATTATCATGATAATAATTGTATTGGTTCATACTTTTAATAATAACATGAAGTATGCTTTATAATGTATGAAATCTAATATATCAAATGCATTTGAAAAAAGTCAGACTCTGTAAAATGGAATTGAATAGAACACAATATATTATATTGTATAAAATTAATTATATGTATAAAATTAATATAAATTCTAATTTGCAATAATTTTATTTTCTGCAAAGTCATTTAGGCAATATTATATGTTGTTAAACTTGAATGTTCTTTCATCTGAATGTTTTATTTTATACCTGAAATGCTGCATCTGTTTTCAGATATGATGTGTTGTCACTCTGCTGTGTCCCCGTGGAAACTGGTCACATGACTCCTCTACAGAAATGCAAGCAGGCCTTGCAGAATGTGAAATTTCAAGATTACCAGGTACATGGTATTACAGCTAGTGCACCAAATAAAGACAAAAGAACAATGAGCAGAGATACATCAGTTGATATTTACTTAATATTTATTTTTTGGATAAGTACATTGTATTAATGTATTTTCAAAAATTGTTTACAGGGCTTGTTTTTAAGTGCTCTTACTACATAATACACAATAAAACTACCAGAGTAACACACCTGCAATGACAGTTTATCTAAATATAATAAATGACTCAGACTGACTTACTTTCACTTACTTGGTTTGCTATATGTCTTCACTTGATATCAGGTTGGCCACACAAAGCTGTTCTTTCGTTACTGGCACGTGGAACAGCTTGACAAGGTGACAGAGACCCTTCAGAGAAAAGTCCTTCTTGCTCAGAAAGGTGAGAAAGGGTTCCCATGAGAATTTGTACATTCAAAATATCTCTTATTTTTTTCCATTTTTTTTTTTGTTTGTTGACTTTCAATACTACAGATAAATGAATATTGTAAAGCAGTAAGTCAGCAGAACAGGCTCATAATTTGGGGAGGAGGGTTCGCGGGATTAGAAAGAAAAAATAAGATTTGAATCCAAATTTTATGTAAGTCCTGTGCCATGTCTTAGTTTGCCACAAAAGGTTTGATTTTCTGAATTACACTGTCATTCTTCTGACTATTTCAGTTGTGAGAGGATGGTTGGAAAGAAGAAAATACTCCAGAAAACTGGAAGTAAAGAGACAGCAGGACCGCTATGTCTACCAGTTCTTGCAGGGTGTTTATGACACTTGTGTGGCTGTGTTCTCCCAGCTGGATTCTCATCGAGTACAGGATATACAGAGACAGGAAGAGGAAGTAGAAGCAGAAAACATGAGGAAGACTCTGGAAGAAATAAAACGGTTTGAAACTTTGATATATACTTTTTTCTCCCAGTAGCATTTGTTTATTTTACTTGTAAAAGTTTGCAGAAAGGCAATTCCATGATACTTATATTACATCAGTTATGAGTTTCTTATTTATAATTTACATCAGATTTTTAGCAAATCAGAGACTGAACAAAACATGTGAACTTAGATCAAAATCTTATAAGAATCCAGTTGCATTAAAGTCTCTCAACACTGGTGTGTTTCCACTAATTGACTATCTTTTACAAGTGCTTACATGTAGTACAGATGAGGTGCAAATTAAAATCAGAATTTAAAACAGGAGAAAACTCTGTCACACTGACATTATGAGAACTAAAGATTTGCTTACTCATTTTAACAAAAGACATTTTGGTTAGCATTAATTTAATCTTTTTAACCCAAAGCAAACTGTAAATTATAGGAAAGAAGAAAACAGGCGTTCAATCGAGGCTCTGGACTCCATTTTGGATCAGTACGATGATGAAAAGACTCCAGACAATGTCTATTATCAACCAATGGATGGTTCATTTGATGTTGCCATGGAAACCAGCACTGAGCAGGCACACTACATGCCAATGGCCGGCAGCGATGATGAAGTTTTTGGGAGCGACCATCATGTTTATGGCAACATTAAAAGAGATGGAATCAGTCAGGTGTCAATCAGAGAGAGAGTCCCGCCTCCCAGTTCAGAGGAAGCAGCCTATGCCATCTCCCATCTTTTCCCAGGTAAAACTGTACCACTGGTCCATATGGCAATTAACTTTTTCACCATCTGGAATACTATAATTATACATTTAAATAACAATCTGTATACTAGATGCATTTTAATTTTTACAAAATTAATCTGAAACTTGTGGTACATGTATGTCATAATAACAGTACTGCATCCATAGTTTGCTTATGACTTGGAACAACTGTCAGAAGTCTAAAAACCAAATTTTTGATCTGATCATAAGAAAATTGATGCAGAATTTATAACCCAGCTGTGGTATTGATGGTCTTTGTATTGTTAAATCGAAAGGAGAAGATAGGAAAATGTCATTCGAGCACCTGCCACCAGCGCCACCTATACCTGTTGGCCTGACCAGAGAAGAGTACCTACACTTTGTACAAGAAGCAAAGGTGCTGTCCCCCTTATCTCTCTCTCTCTCTCTCTCTCTCTCTCTCTCTCTCTCTCGTGCCATAGCAATAGTCAGAAGGTTCACTGGTTCGAAAGTGTACTGACGATAATTCAAAGTAAAGTTCATGAAAGGTGCATGCATATGATTTTTGTGGACCAGTGAACTTTCAGATTAACGAGATGCCCCCCCCCCCTTTCTTTCTTATACACACATATTAGTAATCAAACAAACCTTATGCTTCCCATCCTTATTCTCTCTCATTCCCCATACGAACAAGGCCAAAATAATACAATAGTAGGCAATCTGTGAGTTTATCTACAGTTTAATGTCCTCAATATGATGTGTCACACATGTTCTGTTTTAGTTGCAATGAGCAGAAGTGTCAAGAACACTGTCATTTGTATATCATAAACATATCATTATCATATAATTATCATGAAAACGTGGTTCTCTGTGCATTTAAAATGAGTATGTCTGAGAAATGTAAATGTATTAATTGTGCCAATTTAGAAGACCTCGCCCATCATTCTTATTGAGGTCAATTATGAATCATGAACTAGGCAATAGGATTCAAGCATACAGGTAAATAGATTTGAATTTTGAACATTTTGAATTAATTTGGGCAGGAGTCATGGCCAAGACTGAATGTGTATATTACATGTACAATGGAACATGAGAGAAATGTGCATGACATATACTTTTCATGTGGCCAGATACTAAGAGTGTCTTAATTGACTGGGAGCTAAATATTCAAAATAAACCTGTGTTTGATTAGAAATCAAGACAGTTTGCAGTTAGGTTTATTAGTAATTACATTTCTAAATGATTTGAATTTCTATGAAATTTCAGAGTGGAAACTTGCCCGATTTTTGCCCATGATTGTAAATAACTGTTAGTGCTACTTAATATACCTGCATGAATGATTTTAGATTTTATCTTATTGTGGCTGAAGATATCTTTCCGCCAGTTAGGATATATGGTGCAAATCTGAAAAGAGGGGGTCAGTAAATAGCCCCTTTGTTCATAAAAAGCCTTCGCTGAAACAAAGTTTGATCCAAGTTCTAATTAAGCTATTAAAAAGATTTTTTTCTGAATAAAAGACTCCCATTTAAATTTCTAGCTACAGGCCTGCTGTACATTTTGTTTCCAAATGAACAACTTTGGCTGGCAAAACGTATGCATGCTATGTTTTGATATACGTCTGTAAATACGTAACAGATTTCCTTTTAGAATGTTACATGTTGTTTAAGATATAGTCAGAAGTTTACGTTGAGGATGACCTACATTTACTGAATTGTTTCTAATTATACACATTTGTCTGCAGTGGGAGATTTTATTAGCTGCAGTAATGTGGTTCTGTGAGTAGATTGAGGTAATGTCACTTCTTCTAATAGCTCCAGTGCCATAATTGCCATACGTTTTAAATTGAGTGGAATTGAAATTTAATTTTGAACCTGCTATTAAGAAAAGGTGAGTTGTTAAAGAAGGGAAAAAGTATGTCTGCATGGAAGATGTATAAGGGTCATACATGTGTCTGTTTTTATATTCAAATTGTTCATTTATTTGTCACCTTGTCAGTGCAAAAAAACTGATATAAATTAATTGATGCTTTGCGCCAGCATTCATTTAAAGTATCAGTTTTGAATTAAAATTGGGTATCAAGGAGTATGATGTTAAAGTATTACATAATTCTTACTAAGGGTTAAGAAAGATAGGACCCACCAGATGTTTGGCTTGACAGGTTCTAAATGAAAGGGACCCCTGCTGTAGAATGGATCTATAATAATTATTTAGTACAAGTACTAGTACTAGTATGTCAGCTACACAGATCTGTTAAGAACAGGTGTTGGACCCTTAATACTTGTATATGATGACACAGTATGTGGCTTTTGTGTGAGAACAGTTATGAAACCAGGCTAGTTAACACTTATGCATGTTTTCAGGAGAGCACTTGTAGAAAAAAATATATGTAGTTTGGAATTTCATAGGAGACAGGTATGATTGAATGAATGAATGAATGAATGAACGATGAATGAAAGAATGAATGAACAAATAAATGAATAGATAAATTAATGAAAAAATGTATGAATGAACAAGCAAAAAAAAATTAATAAAAATAATAAATAAATAAATGAAAGCAAGAAGGGGTGTGTGGAAGCGTTAGAGTTCTGTGCCCACTCCACCCCTTCAATCTGTCACTTACTAAACTGAAGTATATCAAAACCTAACCAATAACTAATATGCAATATATCCGAAACTTTTCCAGACTGATCCCCAGGGCACAAAGCAGCCGCCCCCTGCAGTCCCTGTGCGTAGCCCTGACACCAGACTGAGCACTGGAAGTATGTCGGAGCCACAGTCCAACACAGACAGAAAGGTATAAATGGGTCTTTTCTCAAGTACATAAAGGTGAAATTGATGTAATTTAATAACACAGTATCCCACCGAAGAGGCCATAGCAATATTCTGAAGGTTCATTAGTCCAAAGGTTCATTAGTCCGAATGTTCACTATAGAACCCTCAGACCAATGAGCCCTTGAAAAGCCATTGAAAATGTTACCATTTTCAGACCAATGAACCTTCGGAGCATCGAGATGCCCCCCACCCCCACCAAACATATTATTTGTAGAACTTAACTACCTTGACATGTAACATGCTGCTCCTAATTTTAAATTGTAACTATTTGATCAAGGCAAGTATCAAGTTTGCTGCTTTTTATTTAGTCTTATAGTGACAGTATGTAGAAGCCACAGTCAGACACAGACAAAAAGGTGTAAATGGGTCTTTTCTCAAGCACATTAAGGGGTAATTGATACAAATTTTAAACACAGTGGCACACCACACATTGTTTTTTGTGGGACCTATATGTACTCATACGTACTGCTACTATAAAAAAATGCTAACTTGTAGCTACTGGAACTAATACCAGATGTAGAAATATAGTTGTGAAAACTTGATCAAGGCAAGTATCAAATAGCTGGCATTCTGCTTTTTATTTAGGTTTATAGTGACATTGATTAGATGAAAAATGTTTTTATGTTTGACTTATTGTGCTATGTTAACAATTGACTGATTAACATAAAACTAAATATTTTAGTTCTACCCTACCATAAACCTTCAGGAAGTTATCACTTTTTTGCAATTCCCAATAAGGCAATTCATCTATTATCCCCTAATAACCTGATACTGTATACAGTAAGTATTGGATATAAGATTTCCAACTTAAAGGTATTATACACAGTAGGGGGTGGTAGGATTGCAATCAAGTATATACTTTCTGTATTTTAAACTAAACTATTTGTAAAAAAAAAAGAATTTAATGCAGACAGGGCTGTTTGTACTAAATTGACACTTCAATTAATAATTAATAAATAATGCCATTTTCACAAGAATGTCATCACTGTTGCAGATTTTGGGGGACTACGACCTTCCTGCCGATTACGACATTGCCTGTCCTGTGATTCAGCCACCAGAAACTGAAGATCAAGGTGATAGCTGTGACCTTGACCCCTATTCTCTTCCCCCTCCTCCCTTAGCCTGGCTCAACTCAATCAGGAGAAAGGGAGAGAAGCCAATTTCGGAAGTTCCACCACCAGATGGCAGTGCAGGTGCTCTTCCAGTGGATCTGGAAGACTATGATCAGGTTGAACAGGTGGTTGCAGCTTATAGGAAGTCACAGATGCCAACAGGTGGCGTTGGTGCACACCAGCAGAGGGCAGCACAACAGATGAGTGGGTCACAACAAGAATTACCATCCAGGTCAACAGAACAAAGATGGCCTCCACAAGAGATGAACTTCCCAAAAGGGAGAAAAGTAGCACCCCCAGCAGTTTTGCCAAAGCCAAAGAAAAGCTCTAGCAGCACGCCTACCACCCCATCTGCTCCTTTAAATCTTGGTAGTCCAACTCCATCACAGACAGACAGTACGCAGAGTAAAATCCCAATGAAACCACCTGTGAAGAACAGTGAAAACGCACAACAAGTACCAAGAAATAAACCTGTCTCAGACATGAGACCCGTGGCTCCCTCTGCAGACATGAGAAGAGCTTCCAAACCAGTCCAGCCAGGGCCACCTGCCACCTACATTGCACCTCCTCCACCCTCTTTTGTACCTCCTCCTCCGCCTTCAGTGAACCAAGCACAACAAAGACCCCCAAAGCCTAGTGGGCCATCACCTGGCAATGTTTCACAGGGACAGTCTGGAGCAGTGGCTGCCAAGGTGCCCAAATCTCCTGTTAAGCAATTACCAGCTTCTCCAGGACCTCAGACAGAAGCGGGTCAAAGGTCAAACCTACGTCCTGGTGATCGTTCCCCATTAACCACAAGTGGTGCAAGGTCATCCTCTGGTGGGGTGCAGGATGGTCCCCCATCTTTCGTCCCCCCACCTCCACCTGGTGCTCCTGGAGGCAAAAGGAGCTCACAAGGGCCTCCCCCCTCACTCGCCCCCCAGCCAAAACAAACAAGTGGCACAGGGGGTCCTCCATCCTTTACTCCACCCCCTCCATCACCAAAACATACTGTCCAAGGAGGACAGAGTAGGCAGCCACCAGGACATCATGGGCCACCTCCAAGACCTCCAAGCACAGCTTCACAGCCACCTCCATCTCCCAGGCATAGTAGTAGCCCAAACAGACCAAAGGTCAGTCCTCCAAGGCCCCCTTCACAGGGTGACAAGAATGTTTCTGGACAACCAGGACCAACGGCGCTTGGACAACCTTCCCTTCCACAAAGTAAAGAGGCTGTGACACAGAGAGGCAATGGAAATGGGGGACAGAATAACCAGAAAAGAATGTCTGGGCCATCTTCAGCAGTGGCCAAACCTCCACCCAGTCCACCAGCCTTGCAGAATACAACACCTGCTAAAGTACTGAAACCCAAATCTCCACATACGCCTATGGGTGCACCCCCTCCACCACCCCCACCCCCTGTATCTCCTGCAACAGGTAAACCAGCACCCACACCCTCATCTGCACCCCCACCTCCACCACCCCCTCCTCCAGGTCCACCCTCTAACATCCCTCCCCCTCCTCCCCAGGTCCACCCTCCAATGTCCCTCCCCCTCCTCCCCCTCCTCCAGGTCCATCCTGCAATATCCCTCCTTCTTCTAATGTACCCCCTCCTAACCTACCCTCTGCCCCACCCCCACCACCCCCTCCCCCTCCACCCCCTTCCACATCATCAGCACCACCTGGTGGCCTGCTGGCAGGGATTGCCAATGCCAAACTGAAGAAAGTGGAGACTGGACCAGGAACAGATGAAGGTAAGATAATTCCAAATATATGTGTGTTATGTTAGTTGTGATTGGTTTTGGGTTTAATTGCTCTGGGCATGAGTGGATTAATTGTGTTGTTTTAATGAATATTAATGTAAGTAAAGGTAAAGATAATATTTTTGATTGACTTTTGTTTGTGTCTTTAAATTGTGTTGGGGGTGACTACCTTGTGTAAATGATTGTGTTTGGATGTGATTCCTTTGAATAGTTGGTAATAACTTATTCACTGTGGCATTAGGGAATGCATGCTTAAATGACTCAGATGATTATAGAAATAAAATTGTGGTAGTTGATTTATTATTAAATGCAAGAACTTGCACTGTATCAGTGTGTTTGACATGGCAGTTTTCACCGGCTTTTGACATCTGTATTCTTTGTTTTCTTTATTGGAGTCACCTTTGAAAGGCATAATTGCTTTTGTTGCATTAGTTGTGTTGACAATGTGAGTTTTATATGTGTTAGTCTGAGTTTTATTCTTAAGGGATTATCTGTACCATATGATTATTTTAACTTTGCAATATCATATGGGAGAGCAAAGATTTGTTTACTAAAACACAAGCAGATTTTGTTTTGACCTTATGAAAAATTATCAGACATTAAATAAATTAGATTAGAAAATTTAGAGATATGAATGAATAGAATAACTGAAACTTACTCTAATCTCCTGCGAAAATTTGTCTCATTTAATGCTTACTTACAGTTCTCAGTCTGTCCTAGAACATAATGTTTTTCTCTTTTAATGAAAAAATGTTCTTAATGTGTTCTAGGACATTCTGAAGGACTTCCCAAAGAGAGTTCTTGAACTATTACATTCATTACAGAACAGCATTAAAACTGTGAAAAAAAAAATACACCAAATGTTCTAGAATAGATTGAGAACTGTAAGTGAACGTTAAATGAGACAAATTTTCACAGGGGATGGGTGAAGTAGGTGTGATGCAGTACACACCCTGTCCTTCTTTCTTAAAATTAAATCATTTGTTGACTATATGTTCTGTAGTTGCTATATGAATCATATAAGATGTTCTTTGCTTTTTTTTTATTCACTGTATTTTCTTGGTCTGTTGATGCCTGTTTTGCATGAGTAAATGGTAGTGTTGAGGGCAATTGTTTTTTCCCATGTCCACAGAGACTGTATATTTATGATTATAAATCAATGCGGATTGGCTGCAAGTGAATTTTATTGTGATATGCATATTAATGGCAATGTTATTTTACTTTATATGGAAGATTTTACTGACACTAAATATATGTATTTTCTTCATCTTAAGTAGGTTTTTACTTAAAACCAATAATGCCGAGATATATTTTAGAGTAAGATATTTACACATTGAAGATCATAAAAAAGATATGTAAAGAGTGTGCAACAATAAAATTTTCAAAATATCAGATTCAGGTTTGAATAATAAATTGATCAAAGTTGATTAAATTTAAATAAGATGGGATTGAAATTTCTGATGGTAAAATGTCAATATGCCCAGTTCAGTTACATTCTTAGATATGTGAGATGTTCTAGGTTAAGTTTGCTATAAAAAGTTGTATTCTGATATTACAAACCTGCTTAAATGTTAAAACCTTAATTTATTTAGATCAAATCACACCAGATTTAGCATGATATTAATACAAAGTAACCTTGGTGACAGCTCACAGACTATAGAAGTGTCGATTGCACCAGGCACAAGTTGTGAGTATTACAATGAACTCTCTCTAACCTGCACAAACCGGCACACATTCTGCCAACATGGAGGACGCATCAACCAGTTCATCGCTGAACTTTTTCTACTGCTTGTGGGAGAACTTTTGATCATAAAACTGTTAAGGATTTATCTACTGCCCATTGTGTCCAATGAAATAGGTCAAGTTGCTGGGTGAAAAATGACTTTTTATGGTAAGTTAAGGATATTTGTACATCAAATGAAATATGAAGAATTATGTCCTAGAGAAGGGGCCTCAGTACAATAGGCAATTAGTGGAGGCGGGAGACAATAATAATTGACCCAGCTGTCACAGGAATGACTGTAATTTCACAGTTGCATGACTTGAAATTGTTTGATATAAAGTGCTGTAGATCAATTAAAATTGTTATGGTTTTAGTCTGTTTTTAAGATGGATGGAATAGAGGGGCAGGAGGGGAGAATTTGGGGAAGGAGAAGAGGAGCCCCCATCTGTGATATACTAGTAGCAACTGTTGAATTTTGATCTTTGCCTTCTAGTTTGCTAGACCTCGGCTCTTCTCAATGTGAATGCTCTCTTACTGATCCATGGACTAAATATGGCCGATGGTACTTAAAAGCCTTCCCAGCAGGGGCCTAGCAATTAAACCTCAAAGCCAAATTTTAATCCGTGTGAAGGCGGGGAGACCATTTAAGGATTAGGCAGTCTTGCTTATGTAGTGTTCCCATATCTGATCCGCAGAGGAGTAGATCGGAGGATCATCTGTTCTGAATGCGACTTTAGACAAACTATGGGGCCACACTTTCCCACACTCTCTGTACTGTAAATCTCCCCACGTGTCACACACCATGTTAAGGCAAGGACAGTGTCACCATCTGGTGCTGTGACACAAGCAAGGAGATGGCACACCATAGTTGTCAACATGTTGGGAAATGTATTGGATGGTGATGTAGAAATTCAACCCACAGGTTGCTATGATTTCATATAGAGAAGATTATTTTATTATGGTAAATAAATAAAAGAAAACAGCATTGGTTCCTAAAAGTAATAGGTATTCTAATCCAAATACAAGTCTTCATTCAGGACTCTTGCTTTAATATGCCTCCTTTCTGGGTGTTTTTGGATATTGGGGCTTATAATACATGTAAAATAAGCAAAGCTGTGTACAACTTGGTGTTCCCATCATGAAGAAGCTTTTATTGTTGACAAAATGTAGCACTCTGTGTTGATTTGGTGCATTTATATGTGTGTATGTACCATTGTGTCAGAAATGCTACAAAATGTCTCCATAGCTTGTAAAAGAGTATGTCAGTATCTCTGTCTCAATTCCAAACTGTCCCTCGTCCAAAGTAAAGATAAAGTAACAGATGGACGAGGGTCATCTTTGGCTGCCTTTGGTCACATCTGCTGACCTCAAGATGTGACTGTTGGGAGAAGGCCCTTAATTAATCCAATATGGAGGATGGAAACCTCTTTTTTACTCTCATTAGTAAGTATTTATGTAATGTGTACTCTTATATTGTTTTTCTGATCAGTTTATCTGGTATGTCCATTTTCAAATTGTTCAGTATCGGGTATAATGCCTGACTTTTGTTCAGAGGTTTTGATAAGCTGAGTTTAGCTTAAAAATGTAACTTAAAAAAGGCAACTTTACTACCAGTATTTATGTATCATTATGGAGCATTATACAATTTGTACATTTAAGAATCATTCTATGTTAGAATATTGCTGAAATATGAAGAGCAAATAGACGAGAAAGTGTTCAACATTTATTACTTTTTCTTTGGTGACATCACTACTTTTGTCACCTGTGATATCAGAATTTGACTTGTTTTGACAAAGGTGACGTTGAAGATGTCCAGTCACAGCAGTGACGTCATCCAATTCTGTAAGATATTATTAGCATATACAAACATTGTTATAAAATAAAATTTTATTGTATCATGATACTTTTTCATAAGCCCTGAATCTTCATAAGAGGCATAGTCAGAAAAAAATTAAAAATAAATTAAATTGTTGAGATTATCATATAAAACATTTATTTAATAATTGCAGTATAGAACATACTGTACTCAATCATATTAACGTTGAAGTTACTTAGTCTTTATTTGATAATTAATACTTCTTTACGTGGTAAGGGTGTTGTCAGAGTGGTGATTAGATCCCTTGTCTGTTCTCCCATAAGGGTGCTTAAGGAGAAAAACCCCATTTCCCCCAGGTAGATATTTCATATCAATCAGCTGTATATTGGCATGAAGAAAGATTGGTAAAAAGAAATTCTGATTGCATGTGGTTTTAGCTAATTTGACAGACTGGCAAGTCAGTTAATTTTGAAGGTACCCATATTTTATCTTGGCGATCTAAAGGAATTTTTGTCTATTGTAATATATCATAATTCAAATGAGTGATCAATCCTTTTTGAGAAAATATACACTGTGATAGTGTTTCTTTTTGATAAGTATCAACTTTTTTACATAATCAAATAAAAACATAAATATTAAGAAGTTTATTGTAACGGTAACAATGCAAGGGGTGCCTCGACTAGGTATTTAGATATTACCAGTGTTTTCCATGCTGCTGTTAAGTGTATAATGTGATTAATATGAAGACGAGAATGCACTTAGCCTAGACTAGTAATTTTTGATATTAAGTACTTGGTACATGTAATGTAACTGTCAGAGGCAAACACAGTAAGGATGCAGTTGCTTTGACTTGATTAGAAGGAAGGTGAGTTTTGGTATTAGGTATCTTGATGAAAAAAGAGGATTGCTTATAATTGGGAGTAGTTTGGTATAACAAGTAAGTTGTTAATTTTCTTTATAACCCATTACCTGTGTATAAAAGTCATGCACACATTGAATTGAAGTTTGTGTGAAAATCAGAAAAATGGCAGATATATTATTTTGATCAAAAGCAAAACTGCTTTTGATAATTTTCATGTGGTGAACTGCTAGTATGGTTGGTGTTCATGTACAGAAACCATGTTATAATGCCAATGTCATAGGGGCTTTGTTCTGCAAAATTCATGGTCCACGGAGTAAATTTTATAAGGGCATTGTGACATTCACTATCATTTCTAAGGACATTGTATAAGGACATTAAAACTACAGCACAACTATCATTTATATCTCTGGAAATTTACTGTTCTTTGTCAAACAAGGTAATATAGCCATAATGTAACCATGTTGTTTAAATATTATCAGGATATATAAATGTTTTTCATGAAAACAAAGAATTTAGATGTCTTTCCATTAAATTACTTGGCATCATCATGTATTCCATGTTTAAAGTTTCAAAAATTCCACTGTTGTTTTTTTAATTGATAAATTACCACAAATATTATTCTTTATCATTATTATATTAATAATGCTTCTTTTGTTTAAAAATTTTCAAGAACATATGTTGAAATTGCTTTTCTGCATGTTTCAGAAAATACCCTGGCATTTGAAGATTTTCAAGTTAGAATTTTTAATTAGAAATTTGTCAAATAAGCTGTTTACAAATATCATATTTATGTCAAACATTCCCTCTGTTTTTTAGAGAGACCAATGAAATCATCAAAGCAGACGTCAGCCCAGTCTGCCCTCATTGCACAGATTCAAGGAGGCATAAAGTTGAAAAGAAGTCCTGGGCCAAAGATAAAAGAAATTCACAGAAATGGTACATTGTCAAAGTCTTCTTTGTAGCTGCAAGTCTTGCATTGCTAAAAAATAAAATAGAATAGAAATGGATGATTAGAAAAGAAATAGAAATACAATTTTATGTTGATGCAAAATAATCATGTTGATTACTAATATTAACAAAGCAAATTTCTGAACATCATGAAAAGCAATATATCTGTCAATCATTAAGAATAGTTGAGACTGTATATTAAACAACAGTTTTGGATCTTGAATTTTGTTACATTGTCTATAAATGTTTGTGAATGACTTCAGATTCTGTAAAGGTGAAGAATGGCCCAGACAGCACTGGCAAAGTAGCAGGCACAGGACAATCCAGTATAGACCCACCAGGGGGCACTGCAAAACAGGAGGGTCCATTGTCACCAGGTGAAGGCACAGAACAAATAAATAATACCCAACAAGGTATTTACCTATTGGTATAATAATAATAATAATAATAATAGTTACAGAACTGAAATTTGCTCAGATATTAAGAATTTGTGTTTGTTCAAAATTTGGTTTTGTTTCTGTAATTCAGAGTAAGAGCTCTTTTCAAACAAAGCACACAGAGTTTTAAAAATCATTTTAATAAATTGATTGTAGGAATATTAAACAGCAGTTTCTTGTTTATGCAAGACTGGGTGTTTGCTGTTTATTTATGACTGCATGTTATCATGTAATATACCCATTTTAGAGCAGCTTGTTTAATTTGAAGGTTTTGATTATTTATGTTTTTTTAAGGTGCCTCAGATTTCCCAAGATCGCCTTCAGGACCAAATGTGACTGTGGTACCAGTTGGTAACAGACCTGTGTCACCCCAAACTCCAAAAAATAATGCCCAAACCACAGGTTAGCTCTCTCTCTCTCTCTCTCTCTCTCTTGCTCTCTCTCTCTCTCTCTCTCTCAGTAATATATGTAAGCTTGAGGGTGATACCGTATGGTGACCAATAAGTTACATATATCCATGCCCTGCTATTGTGTTGATTCCTGAAACCACACTGAGCAGTGGACAGAAATGATCAATATTTGGAGTTCAATCAGAATTCTTGATTACAAGCTTATCAATAATTGTGAAATCTATTGGTATTCATGCATATATGTGCTGCCGTGATGCAAGCAGTTTGGTTGTATTAAAATAAAGTGTAGTGGTTGTGGTAGTTTTTTTAGGCATTGTTATATTTATTTATTTATTTATTTATTTATTTATTGACAGTGACAACATTTACCTTATGTAGTCTGTGAATGAAGATCTATTGTGCTTTTAAAAAGGTTTTCTAATATACAGCTGTATGTTTTGTTGACATTTTTAGGTGAACAAAAATACGTAACTGAAAGATTTCTCCTATACCCAAATAGTTTTTTTCTTCACATTAAAAATATCAAATTATGTTTGGCAGTAATCGCAAGTAAATGTGAATGTCCATAATGTTATTCTTATAAACCTACCTTTTCTTTAATTTTGATTAATGGCAAGTAAAAAGTTTCAAATTAAAATAAATAAATAAATAAATAAATAAAAGCCATATAGTCAGAGTGCTCAAAATGCTCCCCAAATGTGAAATGTGGAAAAATGTTATAGAAAGATATAAATTGTGAAAGCCAATGACTTATCCCAATTACAACCAAGTGCCAATGGACAAAGCCAATTATTAAAACAAATACATAAAATAGAAACAACCTGTGGACTACTAGAATGTAAATACTATATACACCTATCCTCTACACCTTTTTTGTATAAAAGACAGAGAACAAAGGCAAAGCAATGCAGGTAGATTCTAATGAACTTGATGACTAATCAATTAATCAATAAATATTGCATGCTGGGTTTATTAGGTATTTTGACCTGAATGGGAAATTTATTGTTGAAAAAAATCAATGTCTGCTGCGTGTATGAAGCCAGCTCACACTGTGAGCAGGGAGCTTGGCTACTGGCCTTACAAGCTAGGAGCTGCTCTTACTGCACTTAATTGGACCTTCTATTTTTGGTCTCATATTTAGCACCTACCAAATTTTCTCTTTGGGTCAAAGTGTATACTAATTGATGATGCCAACCTTGCAGGTCTGGTAGCTCAGCTCCTTGTTCAAAGTGTGAGCTGGTCTTAAACTGCTGGCCTGGGATGGTGTGTACCAGTATGTTAAAATGATTGATCAGAAGGAAGTTATTCTTCCTCCAGAGCATGGTGTATATTTATATTTTACAGAGGTTATTTTAGAATTCAGGATATTATGATTATTTTTTGTTACTCACGAAAGCCCGTTCTCTTCCTCTCTCCCATTTAATTTTTCATCATTTTTTTCTTTGAGAAATTATGAATAAACATTTTTCTTCTTTCTACAAACTGTAACAGCTAAATAAATAAATGTCTGCTGTTAATGTAAAATAATGGACTAAATCAGCCTTTACATTGCCTTTGTGGTCTTAGTACAAGTCATATTGGTCTTCTACATAAGACTTGCAGCCAGGGTCAGCCTTTACCTTTCAACTTTGACACCCAATAATGAAAAACTGAGGCTTGCAGTGACCTCACATTACGTGATCAATAAATAAGCAAAAGAATCCATAGCCATGACACATGCCAGCTCTGATGGGGCCCCGGTATGGATAACCAATGGAAGCCAAAGACAGAACCCAACCATGCCGTTGTCATTTCATAAAAAATTCATTAATTGTCCCACCATGCATTGCAGTTTTTGGAGAGAAAATTAATGGGTTATTACAGTCTGCGCCTGCTACCTGTTCTGGTTTTGTTAATCCAGGGTCTATAGGTAGTGTATATGTGACGTTGGGTATCAGAGATCTGAGTACAAGCAAGGTACATGTACGAGGACAAATTGTAAACACTTAGATTTTGGAAGAAGTTTGATGATTTCAGACATGTATTTTTTAAAAGCTTCATACAGTAGTTTTCCATGCCTGTACATGTACAGGGTATATTGCGTTATTTGTTCTGGTTGTTTTGTACAGTAAAAAATATGACATTGTTTTGTTAAATTGTTATATGATTGTACTGGTATTACTTTAGATTTGTGGATATGCAGTCTTTGTATATAAAGTTTCAAATCAGAGTGAGGATTATCAGATTTTTATACCTGTTATGAATTTGTCACACTTCTCTACCAAGAATTTTTTTGCATAGCATTAGGTTGTGCCTTTGATTGATGCAAGTTATAAAATAAACTTTACTTTAATTGTGGTACAGTGCATGAAGATAATGACCATTCACTTCTTATATCTTTGATTTGTACAGGTTTACCATCATTTCCTTCCTCAAAATGCTTATGGGTTTTGTTTATCATGCTGTTCAACAAAATAGATAGAATATAACCTCTGTAAATAAAATGATGTTACAGAAACAAAAGTCAAATATGCACATACATGTGGGGTTCATTGTGATAAAGATTCTAGCATTTGGACTTTATTTATAATTTAAGTGATGCTACAAGGTGCTGTGGTACCTATGTTTGCTTAACAGAATGGCCCATATACATAGTATATTTTTCCTTGATTTGAGGTCGATTCAAGGACATAATGAGTACACTCCCCCCTCCTATCTTTAAAGACTGATGTTTTGGTACCTAGTCTATACTATAGGCCATGCAGCTGAGTGAAGGCATTAATTTCATGCAAAACTTTTGGCTGCATGGGCAGTATAGAAGAGTTTAAATAAGTAACTAAAAACATACAGCAGGTATTTTTGAATTCCTAGCAAAAAATCATTCTATCTATGCCCTTGGTAGAGGTACATTGTAGTTTTTGGGTGTGTTCTAGGTGTAATGTGTACATCCCTTCATCCTTTCCATTTCTTAATATAAACCTCGGTGTTATCTATGGGGCCATTTAGAATAGAAGATCAGAGTATCAACTGATCCAAGGATCAAATATGGCAGACCTTACATGAAAGGAAGACCGCTTAAACCTGTAATGGTCCCTCTGACTCAGACCCTACTCGGACCTCGGACCCTCCCCACGTGTCGTGCCTGCAGGGCCACAGTAATTAAATCTCTGCTCCATTTGTACTGGATACCTGGGGAGGCGTGTGAGAGGCAGAGAGACCATTGCAGGATTAAGCAGTCTTCCTCTCATGTAGGGTCCACCATATTTGATTTTTGTACCAGTTGACACTTGAATCTTCTATTCCGAATGGTCCCTATGTGTACATCTTTTTAATTTCACTTACATGTATGTTTCTTTCCAGTGTCTTCAGCCATAGTGACCACAGACATGCCTGGACCTGCTGGACCAGCCACTCAGAAAGGTCAGTTATCTTTGGTAGTGTCTTTTGCCCTGTAGAGAATTTCTGAAACTCTTGTCTTTTTAGGTGTGAAGTCAGAGTTTGCCTCCCCTAGGAGAACTGCCTTTTGATGGTCATGGTATATGTGTTGCCTAAATTTTGTTGTAAAATATTCATGTTTAAGATTTAATTCTGAAGTCCAAACCTGTACCTTTATTCACTCTTCATGGTTTGTGTGGTTCATCCTGGCACATTGAAGACTTGAAGGCTCCCCTATCACAATCTTAAGTCCACATGTCACTGTTCAGCCACTATAATAATAATAATAATTCTATAAGTCCTCAGTGATTGTTATCCAACACTAATTAGATGTTCTGGCCTCTGGCCAGCAATTTCTTAAAGGTGAGGAAGGGGGTTCTTTCGCCCCCAGAAATTGACTTTTTTGCCACTTTATTGTCCCAGCTTGTGAAGTGAACCTAGATCAAACTTTGATTTAGAGCAGACCCTTTTATTTCAAAGGGTATTTCTTTCACGCCACTGCTTAACTTCCATCCACAAGCAAGCCCGTAGCCAGGGGGGGTACGGGGGGTTCGAAAGAACTGCCCCTTTTGCTGGAAAAAGGTCCACTCTGGGTAAAATTTGCTTTAGGTACATGAAGTTTTTATGGAAAAAGGTCCACTTTTTCAGAAAAAGAACCCCCCCCCCCCTTTTAAAATTGCTGGCTACAGGCCTGACAAGCCTGACCACTACACAAAAGACAATGAAAGTCTCACTTCAATAATAATTGGATGCCCCTGTTGAATGAAAACACTATAGTGGTATGTCTTTGCAGTGGTGTTCCAAAGATATTTTGGACAGTTTTCCAAATTAGCTTTGTTGATCAATCCTCCAAGTTTGGCCATCTTTGGCTGTCAGAAAAATTTACATGCCCAGCAGTATAAATTTGAAAAACTCTGGAAGACACAGATTATGGCCTCTATCAACCTCTGTGATATATCACACACAGCAGTGGCCAGGTAAAAGGATATTAACCTAATTGTTCAACAGATTGCCTCTTTTAATGACCAATTAAGTCAAACAGCAGTAATCACTTTGCAGTTAAGTTATTATTGTGTTAGCTTTAACAAAGAGAAGATTGCCCATAAATGGCGCCATGAACATGAAGAAGAAGGAGAGATGAGGTTTTAATGTTTTACATTGAATTTTTCTACTTAGCTTAATGTTGTGTGCTGTCAGGCTTAGTGTAAAATAGTTTTACAGGTATCAAGTTGTAGGGGATATGGTCTAATGTATAAATTATACAGCATTGAATCAACAGGTAGGACTCTCATTTGATACATGTGCTTGTGCCTTATAATATGATTATTATGTGAATGAAGTTAAATGCTTTCATATAAATCATGTGAGACTCTCAAATTGAGTCAGACTTTATATTTGATGATATGCATGACTTCTAACCTAAAGAGAGAAGCATGTGATGCATATGTTGCCTACTGTAATTTGTTCCTGCCTTTTTAGGTGATAACACTATATTGCTGATATCATAAAGAACAGGGTATTTATGTGAACTATAATATGCTGTCAGAAGCTATATGTCATTGACATATTGGTTCCTATTAAATCATATTGTCATTGATGTATAGTCTCTTTTTAATTTATTGTCATTGATACACGGTCTCCAATTGAATTAATAGGGTTTCATATCCTTGGCCACATTGAATGAATCAGAATCAAGCATTGTTTACCGTTCTATACTAATTTTTATTAATTTATGATGTAAATGCAAGTCCCCAGTCACTTACTTAGGCTATGTAGAACAGTACACTAACCAGTTCTTTTTCTCTTTTAAACTGTGCAAAGAAGGTATATGTAAATTCAAGAGAGAAAGAGAGATAATAGCTACTTGCAGTCTGTATGTGATTAGCTACATATACAGAGTAAAAAAATAACTATGAACTATATATTGATGAGTAGGGAATCAAGGAAGGGATTATGCCTTAGTAGGTTTGCATGCATGCAGAAGGTGGTGTTTATTCCATATGATTGTTGTGACAGTATGACTGTATAAATCATGCCGGCTCAGATGAGGAATGCCTTAGATCAGTAAAATCATACTTACTTGCCACGCCCCTCATCTGATTTAAGCCAAGGTCTACTTAAGATTGGAAATAGGTCTTACTTACGTCATCCCTTATCTGTTTAGACTGATCCTTCTTTAGACTGGAAATACAGTTGCAATAGGTCTTACTAAATCTGTTCCCCCATTTGTTTAGACAAGGCTTGATTCAGACTGGAAATGGGTCTCATTTTTGTCATCCTTCCTCTGCAGTAACAAAGATCAGTTTAATAAGACTGTGAATTGGGTCTTTACAAGACCACAATAAAATTGTACATTGCTGATATTAAATTTATAGAGACCAATTTGTGTTGAGAGAATTGGAAACCCGCCTAATCAGTCAGTTTGTCTGATTATTTGATGAAGTAATTTCAGGTTAAAAGTCGATATTGTCTTTACAAACAGTTACTGGTATATGGTTTGGTAGACTTATCATAGAAACACACACGTACATATAAACACATAGAGAGGGAGTGGGAGAGGCTCAATCTGGGGAGAAGCAGCAAAGACAGTCAGAGACTGCATTCAGATTCACTCGTCATACTGCTAGTCAGGGGCGGATCCAGAGATATTTTCTGACAGTCTTCCAAATTATCTTTGTTGATTCATCCTCTATTTTTGACCGTCTTCTGACAGAAAAAATTAAATACCCGTCAATGTAAACTTGAATATCTGACCGTCTTTTGGAAGACCCAGAAGACGGCCTAAGTCCGCCCCTGCTAGTAGCTGTGTCAGTCCGACTATGTGGGAGGTTTCTCGCTAAAGTAAAATCAGCTTAATTGTCTGACACACCTCCTCGAGCATCTAGGAGCTAATTAACTGTTGGGTGCTGATGACAATTCATAGAAAATGCAAAAGACTGGTAGGATTCCAAACTGACAAAATTTGTATATTTCTATGCATCTTTAATGCCAGTTTCAATATTGTGTTTAGGAACATCAGATATATTGTAATGGACAAAAAATTTAGGCTGCTAAAGCAATGTAATTTTGACTTAAACCAGCCTTGTATTAATATGCAGAATTTTGTCACCCTGGAGTGTAACAAGGTGCCCCTGTTCCCCCCTCAGAATACTGATGACAACTCTTGAGTGTCATCTTTCCTTTCCACACAGCCACTACCTGCGTAATAGTCTGGCAGGAAGATCAACAGTGAAGATCACTTACATTGCTCATTAACTTTACTGTTTGTTTACGGAACAAGATTTCTGACAGATACTACAGGTTCTGAGCTTGAAGGTATTTGGGGGTTTATAGTAATCAAAATTAGCTTTAACGATTGTTCGTCAGTAATAGATAAATATTTTGATATGTTATAGATGCAATATGAATACTTTGGAAAAAAGAGGTAAATCATAATTTAAAGTGAAAACTGATAATACCCTGGTAATTCAAAACAATGTCTAATACACAGTCTGAGAAATTAATACAGAAAGGTTCTGTTCTTGTTGTCAGAAAGGTTCAGGTAATTCACTCAATCATCTTCAGTAGCAACTGATAGAAAGAAGGCCCTTATTCAGTTTATGTGATACTAAATTTGTGACAAATTAAAGTTGTGAAATTTGAAAAATAATACTGTAACAGTGGCAACTAGCTAAGAAATCTTGTCAAGCTGAAAACAAAGGTTGACAGATTCTTAGAAGACTGAAAGTATGAACAATGCAAGTTGCTTCTCTGTTTCACTTAATTAAATCTGAGCATTTGATCTGTCACATCATAAACAGACCATACAGACATAATAGTATTATTTCATTTATTTGAGCAAAATAGAGCAAAACCTGCAATTATCATTTCTTGTTTATAAGTTTGGTTTGGTTTTTATCATTTCTATAAAAGAAAGCTATCAAAATGGAGGATGTGGTTGAGACAGTTCAAGGTATTGTAATTATCAGCATCTGATAACAAAATAGATTTTGTACTGAATCAGTCTGTTTGTAAAATTATATCTTAGTGTATTCCTATTATTGTTTCTTTGTCTGAGTTTGTCATGATATTTCGTATACACATTTATTTTATTCATATATATCTCAATATTTGTTTGTTTTTATTTTTACACCCTATATCTTTAGGGCTGTATACTAATGGCAAGGTCAATACTAAATATAGCAAAGGCAGCAGAAATGCTGTACAAACTATAAATAATTCCTGTCCAAGTGATTTTGAATAATCCCCTCTGTGTGTCAATATTATCATTTTTGTCCACTCTGTCCTTGTATGCGTACAAGTCGAACATGATTCTGGACATCATTGCTGTGTTTGAGCAAGGGTGTGTCGTTAAGAATGATGTTGAGACGATGGTGTTACTGTCAGCAATATTACATTAATCAATAACCTAGCATGCAGCAACATGTGGCTGTCTGTTATTGTATTGTATGGTAATCAAACTGAAATTTCAAACGCCTTGGTTATTTGTATGATATTTTATTTTTTTGTAAAATATGTTTAATGCTCACAAAAACATACATTCTTACTTATGTATGATTGAAATTTAGATTTCTTAAATCTAATACTTGATCAGGTATAATCTGTAAATAAATTACTTGATCAATTCATTAATTAATTTATTTATGATTGTGTGAGTGAAACTCACACATTTTGTTTGAATTTTACAAGTAATTGCCATAGTCAGAATCTTATGGTATAATGGCAGTCTTCGTTGCATCTTAAATTGGCTAAGTCACTGGAGTCTGATTGTCATAACCTCCACCGCAGATTTAATAATTTGATATTTCTGAAAAACAAAGGTTTGGCTAAGAGGAAAACTGATTTTAATAGGAATTTAGAAGAATAAATGTAATTGAAATAGTTGTATGATCCATTTTCAAATTGGATTTATACTGCTTACAATGTGAACCATACTACCATTTTATTAACTTGTAATGGACAACAAATATTCATATAGGAATAGATAAATTTGCATGTTTCTTTTATATAAGTATTATGTATGTTATGCATGTGATGCAGTTGTACAGTCAAATAGGTTGTCGGGGGCACATACATGTACTTGTGGATATTATATAAGCAATGTTTATTTGACTTGATTTTATAAATACAGTCATGTACTACACGTAGATATGTATTTTATTATAGTTCAACAGTGCCATGCCTGTTACATGTAAATTACTAAGTTACTTGGCGTGTGAAAATTTAAAGACATATAAAATGATGTAATTCAGTATATATATAAAAAAAAAAATTGGAAATCTGCAACAAACAGACCTCAAAAGAAGTGTCCACCAAATGTCATAATAAGATGTAGATAACACATGTTGTGTGTGTTTAACACTCATCTGATTGTGGCGCAGGGGGGAAGTATATCATGTAGTACAGAGATGAAAACAAGAATGAATTATCTCAAGGACCAGGTGTGAAGTCAGCATATTTGTTGCATATGATGGTTTGATGCTAATGTTGCATGTCTAGGGTTGTCACAATATACTGTATGTTACTAAAATCAATATTCTGGTATTGCTGATGATATTTATCCGTAAAACATTAAAGATACTGTAATTTTCTGTTTGTTATTCCGATTATTATTTTTGTGTTTTTTATTGTTATAATTTTTCTCTTGGGGGGGGGGGGGGGGGGGGGGGAGGATACATATTCTAGTGGAAAGAGTGTTAGGGATTGTTTTTTAAGGTTGTTTCTGTTACCAAAATAGATGCACTGTAGAAATTATACCTTATAACACTACTGGTAGTATACACTGAATGCACAGGGCCAAGGTCTGTACTTGTGTGTGNTACACATAGACAAGTATGTGTGTGTGTGTGTGTGTGCATTAACTATATGTATATAAATTTACACATAAGCATTGCTTTCAATTGTATGGTTAGTTGGGTTTTAGATATGTATTCATTTACATATAACAGCTGCCTTTAGCCATATGATCGGTTGGGAACTGGATAGCACACATTTTACAGATAAATAAATGAATGAAAATATTCAAATGTGGTCCAGGAGTAGGAAGTGGCAGTACTGTGATGAACTAGTTCAGTGTATTAGTTCAGCAGCTGTTGCTTCATTGGCTGACTTCAGAGTAATTTCTGTTTCCATATTGACATCTGCCTCACTTCAACAAAGTCACACCCTGCTACAGAACTGGTATTATATCTTTGCAACTTTAAAAATCTGCCCGTGTGAAAATGTCAAAGAATGCAATAATATAATTTTTTTTTTTTTTTTTTTTTTTTTTTTTTTTACATTATATGACATTAAATGGGTTGGCAGCTCAAAGGAATTCTCTCAGTCTGGCTTAATGCAGCAAAAAATAAAATAAATAAATAAATAAAATAAATAAAATTAGATTAAGGAAAAATAAGAGGGAATGATATATTTATGCCCCCTTTTGAAATAGCGGTAGAACCCCTATAAGTTGCTTTGCACATGACAGTCCATCTAGATCCATCAATAACTAGACCTTCATGTCCTTCATATTGTCCTTGCTTATTTTGGATGAGGTTTAGTGAAATATATAACAAGTAAATATCAGCATGCTGTCAATTTGATAATCTTTGTTTTTTTCCCATCAAAACCTTCCTGATTGTGATGATGATGATGATGAAAGCTTTAATTATCTTCGGCCCAAAGATTCAGGAAAGGTGCATCATGTTGGGCCTTGCCTACCTCAGTATGCCCAATCTGGGAATAGAGACACTGCATGTAATTTTGATTTTCAAGCTCTCCCACCAAAGGCAAAAGCTTGGATGTTCGCTGTTTGGACATCTCACCATATACTCTTTCCTTTCCTGATACAGATATACCAGATATACATAATACCTTATATTTCTTTACCTTTTTTCTACGAGATATAGATAATATGCCCTGTAGTCAAGGGCATAGAAGAACAATATGCACTAGACAACATCCATAGGTTCTGTATATATAAGGTCCATATGCATGTGCAATATTTGCTTTCAGAAACTTCATATTTGTAGAAATATACCTGTTTATGTGTCTACACCCCAGTTTTAATGACTTATAACTAAGACCCCATTTCCATAGATTTTAGATCGATCTATCCCTGTGGGGAGTCTTACTAGATAACTGTCAGCTTACCTGGCTTAAGTGTCTGTCCCGCCTACTGAAAGCTGTAAGGGGGTAATTAACTATGGTGCGCGCACGGCTGACTGCAATTTAGCGTGAACCCCCAGGGAGTTAGGTCGATCTAAATCTTAATCTCTAAATCGATCTAAATCTCTGGGAATACACCCTAAGAAAATTAATGTTGGGTGGGTTGATAGAGGGATCAGGTTGGCAGTCACTGGGTAGAAATTGCTGACAGTGTACAGTACTGAGTTTAACTGTCACAAGTAGGCTTTAAATGCGCCTTGTGACATATTGCCCCAGTTGACATATATATTTCAATAAAGAATATTATAATCAGTGTCTAAAGGATGCATAGATACATACACTGAATATTTGATATACACCATCAGGGCCTATAGCACATGACCAGGGCCCTATAACATTTATGATCATGATGATAACTCTGGAGATATACATTCCTATGGCCCAGTGTGTATGACTGGGGCCCTTTGATATGTATGATGGACTCGTGTTGAACACAGGATATACAATATGTCACAGCAGTACCACCCAAAGAGCAGCATATGTCTTGAAAGGTCGTAGGTCCTCCAATTGGTAAGTCTATAAGACAGGCGGGGTGCCTCTTTCAGTATTCATATTACATAGGTGAAAGTGTGTGAAGGACGCATATCTATCTGACCACTCTGAGATTTTATAGCTTAAGGGATTATTACTGCGATTGCCGTGGAGCTGAAGAGAACTGTGTGAGCTCACTGACATAAGGCGTGCTCAGTTCTATTTGAACATCTATTCACGGTCTCCTTGTACTGGAGAGCGTTAATTGGCATCTAAGATAAGCCTCTTTGGAAGTTTTATTTCGGACTCATTCATATTCAAAGGCATGATGGGCGAAAGTTATGAGGAACCAATTCCATCTTTCCCCCCACCTCCCCCACCCATGGGGCAGGTTTTGAGTGAAGATGAGGGGTACGGTAGAGACAATCAACAGGAGAATGTGCCCCCTCCACCTCCCCCGCTGGACTCAGATTGCATAGACCCAGATACCATACCATATGGGAGATCTGAAGGTACTGCTCATGCCAGTTGTAGCTTTTTATCTTGGCTTTGTTGAGGTTTTTTATTTGAGGTATATCTAGAAATTGGTTTCTGTGTATGTAGAGAATAGCAAATGCATTAAATATTGCCAGGTGATTTTGTGATTTTGGGTAGAAGAAATTTATTTCAAATGGTTATATGTCACCAGAAAATAAATCGGCTATAATGTGGAAAATAAAGCAAAGATCAACTGAGAGAGAGAGAGAGAAAAAAAAATCAATAGTAATATTTTTTGGTAAAATCATGTGCAGGAATTTATGGGATGTTAGAAAGTAATTTTGTGAGTTTAGGTAACACACTTTTTTTTGCACCTAAGATGGCATTGGATTATGAATGTAATTCATCTGCTTGTTGGAATGAAATGAAAACTAAACCAAATGAACTCTTGCTATAATACAGAGCATGCAGATGGATGTGTTAGTTGTGAATCTTCGTGCTGCATCCAAACACAATGAGATTGTGATAGTGCCATAGAAATGGTATGAAAATGGCAGCACTGAGAAGTTTTTATCAACCTTTTAGCATCTGATCTTCCCATTTTATAGTAATGTTGACAAAAATGGTTAGACAGAGGCACAATTCAAGTGCTTGCTGAAAGCGCTGCTTACTGTGAAAAACCCCTGGGTAATAATGGAGCATGGCAAATTTAAATACTGCTGTAGAACAAGTTTTTTTTTCTAGTAATATACTACTAAAGATGATTAAATATATGATAATATAATCTGAAATAATACAATAATAGAGCATGGCACATTTAAAGTAATGCTGTAAAACAAAATTTTTTCTGGTTTCTGTGACTTCATTACATATTATCTCAAGAGGCAATTGCAGTGTTCACAATGTAAAGTATTGAAAATGTTTTCAGAAACAAAGGTGCTTCCTTTTAACAAAGACTAGAGAATTATTTAATAGAAAATTGTACACTTATTGCGCTGTAATTAAGTTTTTCTGTATGTTGGCAACACACAATAGGAGCTGAAGAAGAAAGTGTCACTTGGTCAATATCAGGTATTATATGTTGTTATGTAGAGAATTGTGTATTTTTTTTACCTCACGAACTCCTGTGCTTGAGAACTGTGTACATCTTTTGCATGATTTTTGATCTCCTATAATATGTATCTCGTATAAAATGTTTTGTGAAGGAACAAGAGTGTGACATTGATGTATCTGAGTTGACCTTATCTATATTTGTATTCCATGTATGTTTCATAATTGGATGTTGTTTTTTGTGTAGACAGTCTTCCAAGCCAGATGCTGTGGGAGTGTCTTCTTTTATTTTATCAAGAGACCAGGGAATGTCTGCTTAATGACCTGCTCAGACTTGCGCTAATTGAGACCGGGAAATTAGTCTTAAATTTTAGACCTAATTTATAGTATACTTTGACACAAAGTATATTAGAAGAAGTCCAATTCTATGAAATATTGTACATGTTTTATAGCAAGAAGGACATGGCAAATGTTTCAAAATAATAATTATTTCATTTAAGTGGTCTGCTATATGCAATAAAAGTCCCGAAATGAATAAGACTAAAAATTTGGTTCAAAAGTTTCAACTAATTTTTTTTTTGACTAAATTAAATTGTTTTATGAAGCCAGCCCTATAGATAATTTAGGCATTATCCTGGATTGATTGTCATGTTAAGAGACCCAATGTTGTATTTCAGTACACTGTATGGTAAGTTGTGCATGTACATCAGTGGTTTTCGGTCTCAGTCAGTCCTAGTCTGATCAGGCCTAGTATTACATCATGTAAGTCTGGCTTGCCTTAAAATATACAGAACAGCTTGTCTTGGGCCAGCATGTATCAGTTTTATAGACTTTGTTAATGTGGAACATGTGTTGGAATTGAAATGTAATGCACACATTTTTCCCTTTTTTATTATTCTTGAATTTCTAATCTCTGTAGACATAAGTGAAATATGAGAGAGAAGGTTATGTGTTAACTTTGTAGGTGGTGTACCATGGGGTATATGATGATCAATTATACCCTGTCATGGTTTAGTGAGGCTCCAGCAAAAAGTAAAGAAACAGAAAGAGACCCATTGGTCTTGGTTTCAATAGCTTCGCCAGATAGCCAAATTCACATGACTGAAAAAAAAAGAGAAAGAGAGAGAAGAACTAGAAATCTAAAAAAAATTGATGGATCAAACTAATTTTAAATGCATTCTTTGGACTAGATCCGTCAGTTTTTTTTTAACTGATGACAGTTTTTGCTGCCCTTTGGTGAGGTCATTTGCAATTGGTCAATTATTTCAAATCAAATGAATAAGTCATTGATTCTGTTAACTGAGACTGCTCCTTCTACACTCAGCCCAACATTTTTCCTTTCAGATCTAAATTTCAGATTGAAAATCAGTTTTGAATATTCACCTTCGCTGAAGAATTTTTAGGTCAGCTATATTAATTTGATTTCTGTTATTTTTATCTGGAAGCTCGATACATGTGATACATTGTTATATTGTTTGATCATTGTTTTTTTTTATTTTTTCAGAGAAAATGAATCGACTGCCGTTGGCTGGAGAAGCCCCAGTGGAGGGCACCCCTGCATGGAAACGTCAGCTAGATGAAAAGAAGAGACGAGAAAAGGAAGAGGAAGACCGGGTAAAATCTTTTGTCATTCTCTTTCTCTACAAGTGCTTTTGTATTTTCCTACTGAGGATGAATCAGTGAAAGTTTATTCAGCTTATTAAAAGTCGAAGTTTGCTCAGAGGTTTAAACCATGCAATGGAAAATGGACTGGAAATTAACCTAATTTGGAAAAAAACACTTGGGAAATATAAAGCAGGCAGTCTGTGGCCAGGTTTATATGAATACACTAAAATTTGAATATAATATTTTGGCTACAGAAGAGAAAAGAGGTATGTGAAGATTCAGTAGTAAGAGAAGTCTGATTCATGTTGCAATGTCGCATATTGACATGTCATTGAGTAATTTTGTGGCCTTCTTTTGCATGATACTTTATGATATAACAATTTCTTGTATAAACGTACGTCTGAACTGATATAATATAATGTTATATATTGCACTGTAGTATATTAAATTCAGGGATGGGATGTCATCATCTTCTGGAGGAATAAATTTCCTCTGTTTTTACTTGTAAAAGATATTCAAAAAAAGGCGTTGGACTTGGTGTGAAATTCTGAAAAACTAGAATTCAAGAAAGGGGAATCTTTTTTCTCCTTTTTATGGTCTTTAGTTCCCATCCCTGGATTTTAGATTCATTATCGAGTGCCCTCTGTTGAGCATTTTCAGTATTTGCAGCACCGTATCAGACTTTTTATTTCCACACTGCAACAATTGTATTTATTATATGATACACCAAGAATTTTCTGCACATTTGTGTCTGTTCTTATAAGTTTTGTATAACTAAACATAGTTTTGTAATAATAGAAAAATCAATGTGAAGGCAATTATACAGGGGGAAAATGGATTGATTCATATTTTGTATAAAATATTATCATTGTTCTTGCACAATTATATTCTTGCGTGTTAATCAAAATAAAAGGAAAACCTCCACTTTTTCCCCAAATCATGTTTCCAAAGAATAAATACAGTGTACACTCTACTTTTTCTGTTGAGTATTTTCACCAAGTTTAAGCTATATAAACTTGAATTCAGGTAGGCTGAACTTTAATGAATGTGCAAGACATGTACATAGTATTTTGGTCTTATGCTCCTTTGGGTGGGAAAATATCTTCAAAATGAGGGGAACAGTCTCAGTCTTGGGTTGATCACACACAAATAATTTTTGGTATGCACAGAGCTTTTTTAAGAGCATTTTGCAGGAGCATAATTTGTGCCTTTTTTTTACTCAGATTGAAGAAGAGCGTCGCCGCCAAGAAGAGATTAAGTGGGCCGGTGTGCCAGAATGGAAGAAAGCAATTATATTGAAAAAAGAAAATGAGAAGAAGGCTGTAGAAGAGGTTGGTTTAAAAGCCTTTAAAACAAGAAATATTATTAGAAATGTGTTTGCAGTGTTTGATCAATATGTGAAACAAAGAAACCTATTAAGTATACACTTGCATGACAAATAAACTTTCTTTGGTCTTCTTAAATCCTCATTGTATCAATTTGCTGAATATTTGTTATACAATTGTTTTTATTATTTGATATTTAAATCACTGTCTGGTTTTAATCCTAATGCTTTCTGTCTTTTATTTGTTACAGCAAGCATTGGCGGTAGGAAAATTATGTCAGAGTTTGTTTCAGCATTTGTGCACATAGTTACGTCTGTACTGTAATCTTTGATCATTGTGATTGGAAAATTTACAGTTGGTATACACTGATGTCCAAAATAAAAGGGCTCGCCATAAAAATGGATGGCATTTCTGGTAGTCAGAGCAATTAGGCCAGACATATTTGCAGGCATGGCGGACCCTAATTTTTAGGAAAGGGGGGGGGGGGTGTCACACCAGTGTTTTAAATTATACTTCATTCTAATGACTGTGATGATTAAACAAGAAATGGAGTGATTTTTTTAAACGGCATTTTGAAATGAAAGACATTTTAAAGGTAGATTGTATGAGTATCATTGATTGCAGTATAGCTTTCTTCATCATCATCAGTTTTGCACTTTTATTCTTTACCACTCCTGTTTCGAAAAGAAATATTGTAAAATGAAAGAAATAATATTTTTGTAATTAAAAAGAGTAATGAAAAAAGGATGAAAAAGAAATATTTTGATGAGATTGGAAGTATTCCAGATGCATCTTCTGGAGACAGGAGTGGCAGAGTTAAATTTTCTCATTTTGCACTTCATCATCACCTCTGTAATGAGAAATCTGAGCGATTTAGCTTAAAAATCTCTGCTTATGTTTTCTTTCATAATCCTATTATGACATCATATTTATTCACTGATATAACTGGATTGCATTTCAGAAAATATTGTGACATTGTATTACATTTGAAGAGCACTTACCCTTATTATTTCTCGCCTTTTAAAATATTTCTAATAAGTTTCAGAATTTTGCATCTGTTGTAATAGAAATAATTCTAGTATTCAAAAGATCTTTTACTCTTTTCTCCTCAAGTGAGCTTTTTGGTTAATTAGCAAAAGTTTTTTTTTAGTTTGTAAAAGTAGTCTAGCTCTCTCCATTAATACATGTAACCCCTATGAATCTGTTTTCCTCACAAAGTTACCAGATGATTGTCAGCCCAGGAGTATTCCACCTCTGAAGTTCTATAATATCCATAAAACTTAGTCCTTTCACTCTTTTGATTAATATATTGACCCAGATTTAGAAATCCTTTCCAACTTTTATCGCACCTACCCAGGTATAAAGGTTGTACATTTAATCTTTGAACATTTTGTGAACAGAGATCGTTTTTGATGCAGGCTATGTAAGGCCCAGACCATAAGCTAGTTTAAAATCATGCTTCAGACCATACTCCTCTACCCCAGCTTAATCTATCCCTGTTTGCACTGCTGGGCCCCTGCTCTCTCAGGTGGCCTTTTTGCTGGGCTGACAACTCCTCTTTGGAGTCATCAGAAATATAAAGCTGCAGAATCTGTTGTATTTTGTGAGGTGATCAGTCCCAAAGATCTGCTTGGAAGTCATTAGCAGTTAAATAGTTTGAAAAATAATTTATTTATGCACTTTAATCTAAATGCACTGCACTGCAATAAGGACTGTTTTAATTGCATAAAGATATCATACTTATGAGGATGTAATTGCTGTTAGCGTAGTTTTTGGCATAGATTACAGAGTGCATTTATGTTTTGATTTGCTCTGAGTTAAAGGGATAATAAATCTTCGCATGAGATCTATATTTCACAATAAAAACATTGTGAACAACTCATAGAAATATAATATATTCTGTTTTACAACAAAAACGGCAGTTATAGCTATTATTCTGATATCTGAGCTTGTCTTTAGACCATGTGACCTTCATTGATGGCTATACTCTGTTAAAATCTCTTAAACTTTTTAGAAAAAAAAAAACAGGTTATAACTTTGAATGTAAAAATGGACTCATTAACCATTGGTAAGTATGGAAAAATTGTTGTTTACTCCAGGAAAATTCATTATTTGGCCGAAACGAAGAGTTATTATCCCTTTAAGTATACTTAATCAAAAGTAAAGTATAGTTCATCAAAAGTACATTTATAGAAATTAAAATTTCATATATACTTTTTAAAATTCTAATAGTTTATTTTCCTGGTCTACTGGTGTATGTTGAATGTAGAAGTCCACTGGAAAAACTTTAGTTGAAACAAATGAGTAAGGAATTTTAAAAAAATGTTTAAATCTCACTTTTTCTCCACATCTTAATGTGAGTACACATGCGAGAACAGAACATGAAACTCAATGTATTTTCCTTTCCTTTTCTCTGTAGGAGGAGAGAAGAAAGCGTGAAGAAGAGGCAGAATACCGCAGGAAGTATCCCTGGAAATTCCCAAACAAAGACAACAGTGTTTCCAATGGAAACTAATGACTTTCACTTTCACTTTCACTTTACATCACAGAAACTTTTATATGGGGAAATAAAGTCTCTTCACAGAAATTGACATGAATCCATGATGATGATGATGTTGAAAGTGTGCTTCTATAATTGAATGCAGAGTTAGGAGAAGTTGGGATTTTATATTGTATGTACACAAACTTAATATTATAGTAATTCATCTATCAGCTTTAAGGATGGTCACCCTAGCTTCTATTAAGGGAAATGTTGTCTTTTGATTCTGCATCCATTAAACTAAGTTTTAGCTGGAAAAATTGAGTTTGAAATATTGATACCATATCCACACTGACCAATAACTGGAACAAATAATTCTATAATGTTACCACATTAAGTATTATTATACATGTACACAAGATAAGTATTATTATACTTGTACACAAGAAGTTCTTCGTTGTACCTGAAATATGACATATAATTAGACTTAAAACTGTGTCCAAAATTGGTGTAAGATCTTGCATCATTGGGTTAATGATACTTGTACCTTTGTTTAAATGATTGCATTACAGTATCCTGTGGACAGAAGAAATTGATTGCTATAGCTTTACAAATGTAACTATCTTTGGTCTCTGGGCTATATACTGATGCTATAAAATTAAATGTACAGGTATTGTTATGCTGCCTTGAAATTAAGCAGTGTATATTTCATTTGTGTCAGGTTGATGACGCATATTTAAATATTCAATACTGGCCACTTGCATGGGTATATATTATTTCTGACCTTTTTACTCGGCATAACGCTTGATGCAGCATAATCACAACTAGCACAATGACCAGTGCAACATGTTTTCTCACCTAACACAATTAAATGACTGGTACAACACATTCACAACTAACACAATGCTTGGTGCAATAGGTGACACTACATAGAGACAGCTAACACAGTAGTGGGAGCGTTTATCATCAAAGTAAATGTCAATATTGAAAAAATATAACATTGTTTTAAATGTATCCAGACAACTTAAAAGATTTGAAATATGTTAAAAATGATATGTTTTGAAATACATATATCCTAATCAAGAGATTTAAATATATTAGAAATACAATATATTATTTAGTCAGATGGGACAAGAACATACAGAATAATATTAATAAACAAAATGAGTATTATTTAATACAATTTGGTATGGTTTGGAAAGGATTCATCAATAAAATAGCTTTTTCCATCGACTGAGTTTAGAATTGGCAGTGCTTTAATTTATACATTACTGGCTTGTTGCATGATAATACCAAATAGAATTAAGTATTTGGTGTCCTTGTTTTGTTATTTGTTAGATTGTTGGTATGTGTTCATTATTGTACCCTTAAAGCATTTACTGTTTGTTACCAGGTAATTTTCATTTAAATCAAATTTGTTATTTTTATTACAATTTTATAATTTCGACAATCTTAAATATGCTAGAGTATATTGTGCTATTTTATTTCATCAGTTAAAAGGAGCACTGATATGTATAGAAAGCAAAACATTTTGGGTAACAAATCGGCCTTTTATTTCAAAATTGCCAGTATTTGACAGTAAGAATTGAATTATTCATTAAGTGTTTATGTACGCTATAGCCAAAGGGTCAAGTTTTAGTTTAAAACTTGTAATATTTGGTTATCAATTGACAAATTCAATAGGATTTCACACTGATGGGAAAAATAAAAACCAATTAATGCAGTGTGCATATTTTCATTTTCTACTGTCTACAAATTATAAATGCAAACTGCAAATTAGGATTGATTTGGTGGCATTTTCACGTCATATTGGTAAATAAGCATTAATTTCCTTGTCATTTTGGAAGAAGGCATAATCTGCAGTTAGCCATAGTATTTTATGTCATAATCTCATAATAAAACTGACAACAGAGCCATTGTTTGTAATTTTATCATGAAATTCTGCAACTCTGTGCAATAAACGTTTAGTGAGCTTGTGACTTTTGGGATTTGCTTAATTAAATTAAATAAATGTTTTCCAATTCACTCCACTTAGGCTCCCTTTTTGATATTCTTTGGGCAAAAAAAAAAGCTATATCTTTGACATCTATTTCAAACTGATGCCGAAAATGAAGTAAATAGTTGATAAACCAAATTTAAGAGAAACTTTTGTAATGTCTGTTGTAATTCAATATTTTAAAAGTGAAATTTTCTGGCCTGAAATGGCATCTAGTTGCAGTCTGTGAATAACCTATTCCGCCATCTTGAATTCTGGTTATGCATTTTCTCAACGCACGCGTCCTTGACCAGGCATGGCCTAGTTTTATCGATCTATTTAAAAAGGGTAGAATTTTGTTCAAAAGTTTAGAAAAATAACACAATCTATCCATACCATACATCTGTTGTATTTACTGACTTCTTATGTTAAAAAGTATGCTAAATATACGAGTCTCGCTTGCGCGAGATATAATAGAAAGTAGCGTCAAAATGGCGTCGTTGCTGCGACACGATGGTATCATCTTAGATTACAGTGATACAGCACCGGCCCCAAGCAAAGACTTTTGTCAAATTCTGATTGACCATTGGCAGGTTCGTATATTCCCTTTAGAGACTGTCACTTGCATTGATATTTTATTACAATCCAATGTTTTAATGGCAATTTTAGCTGCGTTGTTTACAACTACACACACTGACTAAACGGAAAAGATGTCATCTTAGGTGATAAATTATCATTCTCTTCTCTGCTTTTTCTGCTTACGTTTTACTTTTTTCTGAGGAGCAAGAGTCTGGTCTAATTAAATAAAGCTGAGGTGATGGAAATCATTTTAAATCCCTGACAGTGTGTGATAGGAGCCTCAAGTTCTACTCTTTTTTCTCTTATTAATAACGTACTGGTATGCTGTGATTTTCTACAGTACAGTAGGCTGTGTAGCTCTGAAATTGAAACGTTTTTGCTACTGTTTAGAATGGCTAGCATTGATATGTCAGATCATCTGTGAAAAGTGCCACCTAGAAATCAGAAAAAATTCAAAACAAATATTGAATCAACATTATCTACAAATTAAGAGTAGAATTCTAGTCAATATGAAGTGCAAATTTTGGATGATTTGAACACAAAATTTACTTGTATATACATGGTAAAGTTCTTGATGTCTGCTATTCTGATCCCTAGCAGCTTAGGTCAAACAGTGCTGTTGTATCTCTGTATGACTGTATCCATAATGATATTATTTATTTATTTATTTATTTATTTATTTATTTATTTATTTATTCAAAAACATCACACTGAAAAGTTTAAATCATGTTTCTTTTTGTAGGTAATATTCCGTTGGTGGAAAATATCTCCAAGAAATGAAGGGAAGAAGGCACCACCAGGAGAAATCAAGGAATCTTATGATGATTTTTTGCATGATGATAGGACGCAAAGTAAGAATCAGTGTAGCTCATCTGGGCCACAAAATTAAGAAGACAAATGTCAACAAATGGCATAATTCTTTATTTCTCTAAAAAGCCAGACACTGCCGTAAACTAAAAACAAATAACACAAATTACAACTCATTGTTTAGCATACAAATTAGTTCATACTTTAAACAGCTTCATGCTATCTATAAATATTATTCAGTGCTACAAAATAAATTACTTTCCAAATTGAACTGAAGTGCATTACCACAAGTTCATTTAAAGAATTCTAGTCTTACTATCCTTGACCAATGAAAGTCATTACATGGCCAAACTAGTATTTACATCATTAGAACATGGAAAACAAATACATTTGATAAATTATATACATAAATATTCCACCCACCATTATATGCTTCTTTCCAATAATTTCTGCCACTATCACTGTGAGACTTTCTGAAGACTGACAAAGACTGACCCACTGCATACACTGAAGGGTGTGACCGTAAAAAGTGTTCAGTTATGTTAATAAGGTGCAGTGGGTGTGCCTGGTCAGCACACCCACTGCAATACAGACTACTTTGTTCTTACAATCAGAGAATACCAATAGGCTGAGAATAACATTCAGCAAATTATATATCATACATGTGTTGATTAACATCAAAAATATTAACTCTCTTATGACCTTCTGATGTAATTGGATGTAGGCTATCATCTTTAATTACATTCATTTATTATAATCATTTATTTATCATTGTCATTTTATCTAAATAATTTTTTTGTATAAGTATAGCAACACAATTGCCTGGTGAAAAGCTAGTTTTTGTTTTTCAGACTTATTACTATTTTATCTGCATTTCACATCTTGCTTATATTATGTGTCAGTTTTGACTTTTCTCAGTGTTTTGTCAAAGTAATATACAGAAAACTTTTTATCACACAACTTTGTATTTGAATCCAGGTGAAGTCCACAGGGTATTTGGTGTACATTTCCTGGAATATGTGAAAAGGATTGCAGAGGGACACATTGACTATTTCCCCAGAATGCCACCAGAGCATATCATTAGAATTCTTTCCTACCTGGAGCTTGAAGATCTAGCCAGGGTAGCACAAGTCTCTAAGCAATTCAGGGAGGTCAGTAATTTTGCATTATGGATAAAGGTTATAGTATATTATGTTTCTGTGTCATAATTTGATTCTGTTAAGAAGTTCTTTCCGTACATTATAGTTGGTGTGGCTACTTGTAATTAAATGTTTGTAGTTTGTGCAGAAGTAGATGCATTCATTTGGGTTTTAAAGGTGGTGAACATAATGGGTGAATTGCACTTAGTACTGTTTTAATATTTTGTTTAGAATTTTTTACTTTATTTTCTTTGCAATTTTTTTTTTTTTTAGAAAAGAGCTGTAAAATGCATTCCTTATGTAACAGTAATGTATATATTTTCTCTTGTTTCAAAAAAGACACATTTGGTATCAGTATAATGATATATTCAATGAATATGTATAATTTTGATTTAAATGGCTCCCCTTTTATTTGAATACCAGTTGTGTAACAGCAACGAACTGTGGGAAAAGATTTATCGCGCCAACAGTGAAACCCCTATAACACCTCAGCTGCAACAGTTGGCAAATGAACAGGGCTGGAAGAAATTATTCTTTACCAACAAGTTGCAGTTACAGGTATGTCATATCTATTTCTTTTTCTTTTTTGTTAGTCGAACAACATTTAATGTAGCTGATTGAAACTTCACATGTACTTGCACTATAATGGAAAGGCATTTTAATAAGTATGAACTAATAGGTGAAAGATGTTAAAATGTTCTACACTTTAAAAAAAAAAAGCCCATTTTTTATGATGTTTTGACTAAAGATCATTTAATTGAAAAAATAAACTGCTTTTCAACGTGAATATTACCTTGTTGATGTGAACTTCAAAAACTTGATGTGGGATCTGATTTACCTGTCTTCTTCATTGAAGGTCCAGTTGAGGCGCCAGTCCAGAAAAAGAAGACCCCAGCATGATGACCATCCGTCCTTTGTTACTGAGCCAGCTTTCATGACCACAGATGACTCCAATGATATGACAGAATAACACATTGTTGTTTTTTTTTTTTTTTTTTTTTTTTAACTCATCCTCTATTTGATCATCAACTCAGGCATCTGATGCTGGAGGGATGCAATATTCACAAAGGGATAAATGCACATGCATGTATTGAATGTGGGACAAGCACAGAAAGATAATTAAGAAAGCACTTTATGGAATCAGTTCTAATGCAGATTACTCTTACCTCTTATACGTACTTGTTTTATAGAAGCTCGTTCAATTTCCAAAACCTGTATGAGATCATATAAGTTTATCAATGAACTCAGACAGATTTGACTAGCAGCATTATTAAGTCACTATGCTCAAGTTACAGTGGCCATGTCCAAAAAGGAAAAAAAAATATGGGAATTTAAGAGTTGAATGACCCTTAATTCATTCTAGGTTTTGGTTATGAGGAAGGCACACACATTTACAGGGTCTTCCAAAAAAAGATTTGTATTAAAGTTGCATGATGCTCATATTTAATTAGTAGTACATGTAATATTGCAAGAGTAAAAAAAAAGAACAACAAAAAAAAAATATATATTTTTTTTCTCACTGTTGAAGATGTATTGAATTAACAATTTTCTGGCAAATTAAGTACTTATGGTGCTCAAGTATCACTGTATGTGGTATAAAACCATGCCCATCAGTTTCTTTTTATTTCATTGTTACTTGAAAGTAGATTTTATGTTATTACACCATAAAAAGACTATCATGCATATTTTTGAAAAACTTTTCTTGATTACCCACAGGACAAAGTAGGATCACATGTCCTGTTTAGATGATTATTTTTGCAATCTGTGTTGTTTGTTGCAGTTTTTGTACATTGTGGAAGTTAGATTAATTTAACATTTGCACCTTGGAAAAGTGTAAAATGGTGAATTATTTCTTGAATGAATTTATAGTGAATCATTTTGCTTTTTACATAAATTCACAGCATAGATAAAAAATAAGCTAAAATGAATATTGGTTTTAGCTGTGTACCATTTAACAATTCTACAATATTCAATGTGTGCACTAGTAGCAAAACAAACCATGTCAATTGCAGTTTATTATGAATTTAAAAAATCCTCAGTGGTACGTTAAGTGACAAAAACTTCATTGTGATAACCTGGCAGCAGTTTACTAAATTACTTGATTGTAATATTTCAAGTTTAATTTACTTTCAAAAACCAAAAATTAATGATACCGCTATGCATTTATGCCAATGTATTAAGTGCCTGTTAAGTGAAAGCTACAGTCATGTGATATTTTAGTATGTACATAAGAAAGCTTATATGTAAAATTAGATTTATGGTACTAATAGCTGTTGCAGTTTTACTAACTTAAAGCATAATTGCAGAAAATGTTATGAGAAATTGTTAAAAATTTAAAATACAATATTTGCTTGTAGAAAGAATGAAAAGTTAACATACCTGTGTTAGGGATATGCATGTTAAATATGGGGAATTTTTTTCAACAGAGCCTAGTTGTAAGTTGGCAAATGATTCTTTCATCAACCCTGAGTTTCATCGACAAAAATATGTGGTTTGATTCAGTAATCTCTGAAACTGGGGTGTTCCTACCTATCCTAGCACCAAGACTGATGGTGACTATACACATACTACACCTTTTATTCATTTTTCATCTCTTGCCACTATATATATAATATAATTGGTTCTATGAGAAAAGTATAGTTGTGGCAACACCTGCAGGATTTTGAATGTTTTTTACATGATGAAACAAGAACTAACCTGCACCGTTACGCATTTTTGTTGACAATTTATTTTCCGTCCAGTGTGTTCTTCATGTACTTAACATTGATGTATTATATATAATGTACAGTCACAGGCAGTTGATTTTTTCTTTAACTTTTGTTTTTCTTTCTTTCTTCTTTTTCTATTACTTTTTTTTATTATTTTGTGGAATAAATGTTGAATGATATACAGCAAGAGTTGGAGTGTTTGTGTATAAACCCCTCATTTGGTCAGCCTGAGCTCATACGGTACATTGCTAGCATATCTATACCGTTTCCTGTTTGGTAATGGTGTCGAATAGAATCTGGGAAAAGAGGGAGCATGAGCAACTGAAATTCGGAATTTCCCCTATATGCTGTTTATTCAAGGTTTAAAAAGCACGGAAAATGAAACAGTTTAATTTGTTCCTTCTGTCTCAACTAAAGCAATTTTGTGGTGTCTTTCTTTGACTAGTTCCCCAAATATAAAAACCATATAAACAGTACTCAATGCGTTTTGCTCATGCCTTTTTTCTTTGATAAAATAATCAACAGAAAGAGAAGAAAGATTCTTACTTTTTTTATGCATGAGGACATCTTTTACGCACTGACAGATATAAATCCTAAAATCAAGAAACGTGCAGAAAATAATTTTTAGTGGAACTAGGTCTAAAGATACCACAAACCGTAAGGAAAATCATGATCTAGGCACTAAAAGCCCTTGAAGTTATACCGCAAAAGAGCTTGATAGTATGTCGATGCAATATTTTCATTATCTGAAATATTATTGCATATGCAAACCTTCTGTGAATATTTAAGTGTGCTAAGCGAGGCGCACCTGACCGATTCCACTGTGTTGCTGCCGGGGAGGGCACTCGCCTGGAGCGGAGGGCTGCGTAGACTGGAGACTGCAGGGCAGTGAAGTGTTGTGGTAATGTTGTTAGAATTCAGTGTTTTGCTGACTCAGTATAAACTTCTCAATTTTTATACACCCTAGTTATTCTCGTGGATTATTTCTGACTTGCAGCTTGTCCTCCCAGAGCGACAGTGCCTTTCCAGAACAAACAGTGTGTCCATTATTTTAATCTTCCGGGGTCAGCCTTTTATTTAACATTAAAATCAAATTCCCAATTTTTCCACTGTTTCCGTATTTTTTTTAATAAAAAATTCTTGCTTCACCCAACTAGGCCCACTTGACTTTATTTTGTTTCTACCCAGCTAGAAAAGTAGTCCCCTTTGCAGTCTGCTTGCAGNGTATGTGTAATTATTTCTTTATTTATTATTCTCTTGAAGTTTTCAGTCGTTTTTTGGGGGGTTTAATTTTTCCTGCGCATTAGGTCCACCCACATTTTTTTTCTTGTTATAATTCAGTATTTTTTTCTACTGAGGTTCACATTTGTTAACACAGGTCACAGAATCTGGTCTACAGAAATGCTTTAAATTAAAAGTTGTGAGGCAAACAACCCTAATCCTCATGCCACGTACCCCTAAGGGCCTTAAACTTTTTTTCTTTCTTTTCATCATGGGGATAGCATGCCAGCTTTATTACAGCAGGCAGTATGTTAATTTGATATGGACAAATCTAAAATGTCTTATGTTTCTTTCTTTTCAGTTGAAGTCACCACAGTCATGGCGATACCATGTCAGCTTTATCACGGCAGGCCGTATGTGGACTTGACGAAGGCACTGGGATACATCAGCCATGACTGTTGCAAGGACACACTGGTATGCCTTCATGGTGATACACTAAAAGACCATTCCCACAGATATTTGGATCGATCTATCTCCCTGGGGAGTCTTACTAAATTGTTATCAAACTAACCGGCTTAAACGTCTGTCACGCCCAGTAAAACTGTTAGGGGGTAATCATATTTACCCCTAGCTGATTCAGTAGGCGTGGCAGACATTTAAGTCTCTTGAGCTGTTAGCAATTTAGCTTGAACACCCAGGGAGTTAGGTCGATCCATATGGATCGATCTGCAGGCCCGTAGCCAGCAATTTCAAAAGGGGGGTTCTTTTTCTGAAAAAGTGGACCTTTTCCCATAAAAACATAATAAACCTAGTTCAATTTTTGCCCAGAGTGGACCTTTTCCCAGCAAAAGGGGCGGTTCTTTCGAACCCCCCGAACCCCCCCTGGCTACGGGCCTGATCTGAGTATGGGAACCCAGTCTAAATTATTACCTGGGGACAGTTTGTTGAAAGCCAATTTAGAGTTTGTTTAGGCTCTGCTTCGTGCATATACATGCTTACACACATGCACATATACTCGTGAGTACTTGACACGGACACTGGGATACATTAGTTAAGTCCTCTGCAAGAACAGACCAATATGCCTTCATGGTGTTACAGTAATTAATTAGGAAAGCCCTGTAGTGAGCAATTTTAAAGGGGTGGGATCCTTTCTTAAAAAGTAGACCTTTTTACTATGAAACCTTCATGTACTTACATATGTAGATCAAATTTTACCCAGAGTGGACCTTTTCTGGGCAAGAAGGGCAGTTTGTTCGAACCTCGATCCCCCCTGGGCTACGGGAATGTAGGAACAGTTTGTTGAAAGCGGATTTAGAATTTTTTTCATGCTCTGCTTCATGCAGATGCATGAAAACACGTGCATTAACTAGTACTTGTTGAGTGCTTGTAATGAGTAGATTTTTAAATATATTTTGTAATTTTTATCATGAACTTGTATTGGATTATGTTGTAAATTTTACATATATATGTGACTTTGTGTTTTAAAGTCTTAGCCTTAAATTTGTCATATTTACATTTCAATTTCATTTTCCAGGCCCATCTGGGAAAACAAGGTCCAAGTGATCAAAACAAAGAAATTGAAACAAACCAATTTTCCCAAAACACCTCAGTGACTGGTCTAAAAATCCAAGATGTCAGGAGCATTTCTGTTTTTTCATCCAGTGAAGATGATACATGTCAATTTTTAGACAGTGGGAAAGATTTGTTGGGAAACAGTAACCATGCCACAACAAAGATAATCACAGAAGAGGAAAAAGAAACCTTAAACCAAAATGAGAAAGTGGAAGCTGATCAAACAATAGACAGTTCTGTTGAAAGCAATGTGCATGTAATCTTACCTGATGTGGACAATTCTTACAGTAAAGACATTGAAAGTGACAATCCAAAGAAAAAAGGAGAATTGCTATCAAAAGCATTTGACTGCAAAATCGGTGAAGCTGTTTTTTCAAATGTTGAGCAACAAAATACAATATCAAGTCAGACTGAAAAAAATGTTGTAATGGAAGATCATGAAGCATTTCTAGAAGAATCCTCCACTTTGCAAAACCAACAAAAAATTCACATTTCTGAAAAAAGGGACAGAAATGAATCTCCTTTAGGTGGAGAACATGACACTTTACCATTAGCAGGAATTGATGCCCGTGAGAATGATTCCAAGGTGTCAGAGACCTCCTTAGAACTTGATGAAGAACTGGTGCATTCACTCACCAAGGAGTATGGGTTGAATATCAGCCCCATATATGATAACACAACCCAAGATCTTGCCCTGGAGGCTTTTTTATTGTTACTGTTCACATGCACAGATGAAAAGACACTGCCATTTGAACAGAGGGATATATACAGGCAGGTGGTATGTGAAATGTGTCAGGTGTACGCTCAGTATGTGGCCACTGCCCAGGATACCTATTGCTCTTCAGGGCTACAAATTCCTGTGGGGTACAGTGCAAAGGCTTGCAAATCCCCACCTCCAGCCCCCGAGAAACCTCGACCAAAGCTTGCTGTAAAGCTTAAACCTAAGGGACTAACCAAATCTGGAAAACGGAGAGGTAGACCGCCTAAAGTGAAGAATCAGGAAACTACAAAAAGCAGGCAAATAGGACTTTATGATTTTGAGACAACACAGGCAGATGTTCGACCAACAAGGAATTCTGTTAGAAGGCACTCATCACCGGCATTAAAGACACCAGTTAATCAAATAGAAAAGGAAGACATTATCTTGGAAACAGCTCCATCTAGTGGTGAAGAAAATGAGCAGTGGGCAACAAAAGATGATGACTGTGATGATGCTAAAGATCCAGATTACAAACCAAAGAAGAAATATGTTCCCAAGCAGAAACAGAAAGACACAGATGACCTTTTCCTTGGAAAAGAGTTAATTTTTACCTGTACATCATGTGGAAAAGTCTTTGGGAAAAGAGAGACACTTATGCGCCATCGTAGAGTTCTATGCCTTGTAAAACCCAGCAAAGCTGCTGGCCCTTTAGCATGTGACGTATGTGGCAAAATATTTCCACGTAAGAAAAATCTTCAGAAACATAGAAGACGCCATTTTGGAAAAAAGCAGTACAAATGTCGACGCTGTGATACACAGTTTCAATCCTGGGATGAACTCGTTGAGCACAGAGGATCGCATGGCAAAAGGCTATTCAAGTGTTCCCTCTGCGATAAACTTCTTGCAAGCAAACACAGTTTGGAAGTTCATGAGCGCACACATACTGACGAGCGGCCATTTCGTTGTGAACAATGTGGCAAATCTTACAGACAACAGAGTAGCTTGCTATCACATGTGTTGTCACATACAGGAGTTAAGAACTTTATATGTGAGATTTGTGGGAAGATGTTTGCCGATGGGGTGTCATTGAAACAGCACAGTGTAATTCATAGGGAGAAAAAGCCTTTTCAGGTTTGTGCACGCACACGCACACACATACACACACACACACACACACAAAAAAAAAAAAAAAAGAATAAGAAAAAAAAAAGAATACTTTTTAAGAATTTAAATAAGTACAACAAACTCAACTATCCTGGCTGAAAATGAAGTGAATAGTTGATAAACCAAATTTAAGAGAAACTTTTTTCGGTCTTTTATAGCAAAATGAGTGCAAACATGCACATTCTTTGACACTACACCATTTTAACATTGTTGTGTTACAATGAATACAAGCATATATATATATATATTTTTTTTTTGTGTTTTCTTTATTTTCTAGTCAAACAGGAAAACATTGGGAAGTTAGAAAAAAAATATTGCAGAAAAAGAAGTTCATCTTTTAGTAATCAAAAAGATCTGAAAAAAAAAAAACTTTCAATATTTGAACATTGAAAATTTTTTTTATTTGCAGTGTAAAGAATGCGGCAAGGGATTTAATAACTCCTCCAACATGCAGAAGCACATGTGGCACCATACGGGTGAGAAACCTCACAAATGTGAAATATGCAACTTGGGATTCCTGAAACTCGATCGTCTTAATGCCCACATGTGCAGTCACACGGGTGAAATGCCTTACACCTGTGCTACCTGTGGCAAACAATTCGCCCACATCCGTTATCTAAAACGCCATGAGCTGACTCACACCGATGTCCGGCCCTACCAGTGCACCATTTGTGAAAAAGCCTTCAGGCGTGAACATCATTTAAAAGTGCACATGCGTCGTCACAATGGTATACGACCCTATGCATGTAGTCACTGCAACCGTAGGTTCACTGAAAAACATGACTGTAACCGCCATGAATTGCTTCACCTGGGGATCAAGCCTTACCAGTGTGTTGTCTGCCAGAAACAGTTCTCTGAAGTGAGAATACTCCGAAAACATATCAAGGCAACTCATGGCGATGCTTATGCCAACTCTACAGAGATCATGTTTCAAAACGTTGCACAGACTGGTACTGCTAACGCAAACACAGCAGCAACTTCATTACAGGCAGTTCCAGATGGATCCCCTAGCACAGCAATGCTGAGTAATATTCCCCAAGCGACCTTGACTTCTGAAGAATTGGGTCAAGGTCAAGGTCTGCATGAGGGGAGGATGGTACCTTCAAGTACCACAGTGCCACTGTCAATGCTGTTCCCTGTATCCCAGGGGAGTGGGGAGGAGGCAGCGGCTAATAGTGGGAAGGTGTTTCAGTGCCAGGGGTGTCTGCTAGGATTTGAGACAATGAGCGATTTGACATATCACACACAGCTTTGCCCCAAGATACAGGTTTTATCTGCCATGCAAGGCGTGAATTATGTAACCTGGTAGTTTATTGTAGTTAATTGGTCTTTTTGATCAGTTTCTTTTTTTTTTTTAGATTTTAAAGGAATCGATAACTAATTTTAATGAAAAAAAATGACCAAACGCTTTATTGGCTTAAGACATAAATGATACTTAGACCAAGTGCAGATAAACCTATTTTACTAGCTGGATCAATTCAACTCTGTGTCGATTCTCATTGAAGTGCATTCAGTGAAATAAGCTTAATTGCCTGACATGCATCTTTAAGTAAAAGAGCTTCAGATAGCCAAGCGTGCACAATAGTTAATTACTGCTTTGCTAATCAATGAGGCCTCTCAGACAATTAAGTTGGTTACACAGACTGCACTTAAGTGAGAATCCCTTTACAGTTGGATCTAAGAGGCTAGTATCATAGGTTTATCTGAATGCTCCCTAAGCAAAGGAGAAAAAACACATAGAGCTGGTCTCTCTCTCTGTGCTCCCCTTTTACTTAGTTGATCAATCTCTGTTTTAATTGTGCCAGTCTTTCTGTGTGATTGTTAACTGATTTGGTATAATGCTAGCCTCCAAATGTACATGTTATATGTACTGTACAGTGAATACTTGTCAAAATGAATGCTGCGCATATATAATTTATATATATATCTTAATGGATATTTTAAACTTTATGATCATTTATATCAATATGTTGTTGCTTGCATAAAACATGTTAACAAAACTTTTGTTATAGGTGAAAGTGTGGTGATTGCATAGCTTTTAACAGCAAACTGTCTTTTTTTGGGGGGTGATACTACTATACAGCACTTAACAATGGAATTTACAAACAGTCAAAAGTTGGCGTTGATGAGATTTTTTTTTAGAAATATTAAGTCATAAAAAGTATTACACTTAATTAGATCAAAGGAAATTATGGTTGATCCAAAATTTCTCTCTCTCTCTCCCATGTTGCACTGCTGGTCATGTGTATTGTTCTTCTGTTATCTTTACAAGGTTTGTGTTTTCAATATTCTTTTAATTTTGTTGTACTTAGGTCCATTAAATGAAAATATTTTTGATGGAATTCAGTAATTCAGAGGGTAAATTGTTAAGATAATTTATTTTAATGAGCAAATAGTCTTGTAATTATATTTATATAGCCTATCATAAGCATTTGATGTTTAATTGATGGTCAAAGTTAACGGACTTATGTAAAACATATTTAAATAAAAATTGGTTTGCAATTTCAGCACAAAAATAGCATTTTATTTAAAATTAAGTGAACTAGACAGCAAAGCTGGCAAACGTGCAGAGACCAACCATTAAAAAAGAAAAAAAAAAAAATGAAAAGAAGGAAAGAAAGATGCCAATTGGACAGACATGATAGTGTAAATGTCAAAATTGGAAGTAGCAGTGACATGAGACCTTAACTTCATATTCACAATTTGAAAAGGTCAATTTAAACAATTTTTAAAAAATTTAAAAAAAAAGTCTGGCAGTTAAAGGGAAATGTTGCCCAAAAAAAAAGAAGCAAAATAAAAAAAAATCAATAACTTTTATAAAAATAATATGATCATTCTGGTTTCCCAAGGAAAGAAACCTTTTTTTCAACAAACAAAGCTAATCTGTAAATTTTAAGTAATAAATATAAGCAAAAATACAGCATGGCAGATGTGTCACAAGTTGACAGTACAGATAGACATATTGGGCAGAATATCTACTCAGTTTATATATAAAAATTAAAAACATGCATACTTTGTTTATAACTGTGGTTTATTTTTCATTGGTACTTTTTCATAATTCTTTTGATTTGAGAATAATGGAAATCAAGTCCACTTTATACTCTGTAGTGTCATATAAAACATATATTCAGTATTTTGCATAATACATTTTAAAGAAGGATTCAGAGCCATATCAAGCAATTTATCAGCTCAGAACTTGTAACAGGTCTGTCCTTTCGTTTGCCACATAATTTCTAGGTAGTTTATTTCTGACATCAGCCACCGACTTCAGACTTGGGTTCTTCTCTACTAACAAAGCCATGCAACCACTGTGCCCATTTTCTGCAGCCTAAAAAAACAGATGAATGGGATTAACAGATTTCTACATGGGTAACCACACTTATGAAGAACATTAAACTGAAAGGATAAAAAGACAAAGTCATACCTGTACTTTCACATAATTTAATATGCTATTAGACAAAAGACAAAGATACAACATGGCAACATCATTACTATTTGCTACATGTAACAAATAATTTCTAATGAAAGATATTTTTGTAACATTACATAAAAAATTTTTAGGTTATGCAAACTTTTCAAAATCAAGTTACTGGTATCTAAATACCTTATGCAATGCTGTCTTCCCATCAGAATCCACCATGTCTTCCCTAGCTCCATACTTCATTAAAAGCTGCAGAATGTCCTGATGTCCACAGTATGCAGCTCTGTGTAAGGGGGTAGCAGCTCCTGCCCTGGTCTGGACATTCACACTGGCACCACTGGTCAGCAACAGCTCACACACAGCCAGATGACCATTTCTGCTGGCATAATGCTTAAATGAAATATATACGATAAGAGTCACACACGGTGTGTATGTGTGTGTGTGCATGTATGTGTATATAACATAAATACTGAATTATATATATTAATTATTAATATATATGAAAAAATGTAAATATATATAGTGCAGTATATATAAGTCCTACAAAATGTAACTATAACTTGTGTAATGTTCAAATTTACTTGTGTATAGGCAGACCAATTCCTGGACTATAAGAGCAACTAAAAACATGGTGATGACCACAGCTGGACTCTATTTTCAAATTTTAATCTAAATTACCAGAGCTGTGTATCCAGAATTGTCTTGCGTATTGACATCTCCTCCTTTGTTTAAATAATCAGCCACCTTCTTGATATCACCATCCATCGCTGCGCTCCAAATGCCACGACTAAAATCCAGTTCATGTAGGGTTTGAAACACTGAAGGCGTACCTGTGGCGTGTGAACAACACCCGTGGTCCTCGCAGTCGAAAACATCGTGACGTTGGTGAAACTGCCGGTGTTTTGAACTGGTACTCATTTTCTTCGGTTCAAATCACCAAACGTTCATTTTAATGATGGTGGTCTGCGTGGACTTGACGTTCAGGTATACGTAGTTATACCGTATTAAAGTATGACTTGCTTCAACAATAAATCATTTCTTTACCTGAACACCGCCGCTTCGTCACTGGTCAGGCAATAAATCTCCACCGGAAGTTGTGCTACATTGTTTACTACTTCCGCAGCAAACCGATGCTTTTCCTTTGGATTCATATTTGAACAACTTTAATGAAGTCGAAAGGTATTCATTATGTATGAACAAATACAAACAAAAACTTGGAAGACTCTTGATCGAATGTTAAATTTTACTACAAATTATAAAAACTCCGCACTGCATGAAATGACGTCATCATCTAGCAGACGAAGTCATCATGACCGCAGTTACAGGGAATCTTGTAAATCAAATGAGAGAACTTCAGCGAGGTGTATATTGTACATTTTCGTAGATTTGTTGGTTGCTAAGTAAAGTAGGTTTTATAAAAGATTGCCATGTTCTTAACTATTTGATGTAACGTAAACAAAATGAAAAACTTCACCAGTTTGGATTACACCCCTGCAGGCAAACGTCATTGATTCTACGTTGATTCAACGTTGATCCACCAAAATTAACGTTGATTCAACGGTGAATCAATGTTGTTTGTCTGCTGAGACTGTCCGTCAAACTTGGAAAAATAGATAATTAAAACAATAAAACACTTAAATACATGTACATAGGTGGAAATACTATTTTTTATCACGTTTCAGAGAAGGCACGCCTGGATGATAAACTTACCGATGTCCAAAAACAGAGGAGTGCATCAGAAAAGTCATTGGCACTGGGTAATTAGTTCATTATATTATTATTTCTATAATGATTTTATTATATCACCATTATATTTGAATAAGGATCGAATGTACTTTTAAAATCACCAAAATTAATAAGGTAAATTATCCAACTCATTTATGTGAATAGTAGAGACAGTGAAGAAAGTCACCTGGCTTTAAAAATATGTTGAAATTCAAGGACTAGTAATTTTGGGGGACTTGCATGTATTAAAGTGGGTGGCACATTATTTGTATTCATGATGTATGTCTATAAAGGCTATTGATTTTGCAAAAGTATTAATGTTATTTAATAGAGCAATCCTTTTCTTTTTCAGCAAGAAAGAAACACCAACACGAAAAAGAAAAAAATGAAATGATGAAAGGTAAACTTTTCTATCAAATGATATGAGTAGATGTATATTAAATTTTGATCAAATTGCAAATTATTTTTCTTAAAGGTTTAATTTATTAATTTATTCGTTTACTTATTTATTAATAATTAGTATATGTAATATATCTTTCTCTTTTAGAAACCCTCAAGGTTGCAAAACACAAAATTGCTCAAACAAGAGAACAGATGAACAGGTGGAACAGTATTTACAATTTCCAATTGCAATTTATGTTGTTGTAAAAAGATAAAAATAACCTTTTACACAGAAAAAGTAAAATCGTTTCTAACAATTTTTTAGATCTAATTAAGGTATATAATCTTTTATAAATCTGTACATGAATGTGTGTATAATATATTATAATTGCTTATTGACCCCATACTGTTTTTAAAGTTTAAGGGGGAATTTTATTGTGATTTTTTTCAAGGGCAGCTAGACCATAAATAATAAAGCACTCTCTTTATCTGTTAAAAGCTTTGAAAATGCCATAAGTCAAAGGAGAAAAATTTTATCAGATTTAACCTTGAAAATTCAAGAAGTAGAACAACAGCATTTAGATGGCATGTAAGTACATGTAGAACCTGATCTTGTAAGTGAGGAGGTTGGAAATAAATGGTTTCCGATTGTAATAGAATTCATATCTTTGATTTACAAAAAATGTTAAATGTTGATCATACTTAAAAGAAAAGTTGTTATAAGTATGGTTTTGATTGTAATGATCTCAGCAAGTATATATTTACTTTAATTTATAGACACTCAAAAGTAATATTTATAACAAATTAAAAGTTAAAATTATAATTTGATTTTTTATACATGTATGTAATGGCAATCTACTTCCTTACTCCATTATTTTGTAAAAAAAATTCTTCCCATGATATATTAATTTTTTTATTTCAGCTTAATAATTTTTAAATTTCCATATCGGATATGAATGCTGAAAAAGAATTAAGCTTGATTGAAGTTCTAAAGTTCTAAGTGCAGTTCATAAAAGCAAAAAAAAATTAATGATATACAAAATATATAATTGTATGTTTTAAATATTAAAGCCATTTACCTAATATTTCTCAACATATCTATTTCTGATTTTCTTTGGATAGTCATGAATATGAAGAAAAACTGGATCAGCTGGCAGAAAAGTTCAGTAAAGCAAAGAACTACTTCGTGAGTTTCAGATTTATACCAATTACCATTTTATCTACATATTGACTTGTTTATAATGTTTATAATTATTCATTTACCAGTAGAAAATTTTTGAATTATTGAAGGGATGAGGATTTTACTGGACTAAGAGTTCATGGAATGAAAATGGTTTTCCTCCCTAAATACCACTTTGTTAATTTCCATCTCAACTTTAGTCATTCATTTGTTTATTCATACTTTTTATGTTAATTTTCCTAATGATTTGTGTATTATTCAATTAAAACATAGATGTGAAGAACTGAAATGAAATTCAGTCTTATGTGTAACAGTATCATTATTGGCTTCATGACCACTTGCATCGTAAACCTATCAAACAAGTCTTTGTATCATCAAAGCAAATTTTAAGACATTAAAGACAGCAAAAATATGTCAGTCCATGACATATCACAGTTATGATACTATGTCATTATTTTGCAGACCAAGAAAAGTCTTGAGAAAGAATTGCAGAAAACAAAGCAAGCTTATTCAGTGCATATTGAAAGTAGTAAGTTTTCTTGATTTTTTATTTATTTTGATATTTTATTCAGTCTCGAGATATATTGTATGCAATTCCTAATATACTTTTGTAAGTATAAATTTTTCCTGACAAATATGCTGATTTTTATAAATTATTAATGTGGGCCTAGACCTAGGTATTGATTTATAACTTATGTATTATAATTTCTATTGATTTTCATTTTCAAAGTCCAAGTCCTCAACTCTGACATTGAGAACCTGACCAAAAGTGTAGAAGATTTGGAGCTGCAGTGTGAAGCACTAGACGAAATAGAACAGAGATTTCTTGTTGACTTTCCGAAAGAATTCCAGAAAGATATCATGTAAGTTGAAGTGAGTCTGATTTTGAATACTGACAGGCTGAAATTGAGAATAGCATTATCAATAACTGAAAAATGTGTGTTTCTGTCAGAAAACACTTTCAAAAATATACTCGCTGGATCAGAATGAATTGTCTTTGTTGTCTGTATATACATGTACGGTGTAGTTGCAATAGATCTTGTCATGATTTCTTTTCAAATTGAGGTCACTATATATTTTTATTATAGCTAAAGATTGTAAAAAATGTAGCCAATTACTGTTTACTGTACACTGTGTATTTTAGAAATTACAAATTTTCAGAAATATGTTTAAAGATGAAGAAAGTCTAGCTCATGAAGAGACATTGAAGTTGCAGAAAGACTTGGATGCTGCTACGGCAGAACTTGATGAATACAAAGAAAAAGATCTGGAGATAAACACACCAGCAGCTTGACTGTTTTTTATGCTTTCCAAAATTTGACAGGAGAGAACACACACATATATATATATATATATATTGACTTGCCTCAAAACAAAAAGAGAAATGAAAAAGGCAGTATTATTATATTCTGACAGCAGTTTTATTCTCAGTATTATAATTCAGAGATAATATTTACAATATTTACAATTGTGGATCACAGTAAACTTGTTCAGAATAATTTAAACATTTACACATAACATGTAGAAAAATAAATTTTGAAAGAAGCTAAATCCACAGTTTTATTTCAAGTTGCTGTTCATTCAAGTAATTAAACTTAAGTTTTGAATTCTAGTGAAGACGACAAAATGTCACAACTGTTCCACTTTTGATAAATCCATGTGTTAAAATTCCACTGATAAATAACCCACACTTTTCTTTAAAGTCAAAATAATACATTTATAAATATTTCTTTCTTCAGCTTTGTTTCTGGGTATTTTTCCAGTCATTTTTAACAAGACTTGTTTAAGCCTTGTTGTTCTATACAGTTTTGACAGCAGCACATATTCTTCCTTGCATTGTCCAAAATTCTAAAATAATATTCCATTTTTGTTCCAACAAGTGAAGTCAATGAAATCTGTTTTAATTCATTAATCATCTAAAACTGTCTGGTCCATCTAAGATTCCGCAGCAAAACCGAAAGCGTCGTTTAATAGTGCCTGGTAGTTGATAACCTGAACTTGTTTGCTTGCCATGGTTCCTTTCCATGTCTCGTCCAAGGTGCCCTGGAAGTTAGGTGGCGCCACCACAGGGCAGTTCTTCCAGTCGAGATACTGGAGGAAGGTGTCGTATTTCAGCAGACCCTCCTGGTTGATTTCACACCTGAGAGGAAGACAAGGAGGACAAAAAATGTGAATAACTACAATTGATAATGTTAAATGCTTTACTTATTTAAAATTAATTTGAATGCTGGGACTGCAAAATTCAGTGCTCCCCTCCATTGTTCACTGAATGATTAAATGTTCGAAACAAAATTATTAGGCATCAAGTTGAAGTAAAATACACAAATTTTAAACGACATCTGTAAAATTAAATAGTCACTGTCGTGCATGTAATAATCCTATATTAACAAACACTCTAAGTTATGAATCAGATAAAGATATTTTGAAAAATGTAAATATGTCCATATCTCTATGAACTAAGCTACATGTACTAGTATGATCACAGTGGCTATACTTACTTAGTCATGAGAGCCCACACCAGATCTCTGGGCACTGGCAATCTCAGAGCTTTACAGGCTGTCATCACTACCTCAGGGTGCAGGTATCCACACCTAGAATACGAAATGAATTTTTTAGCACTCTCAACTTACATTCAATCTAAAAAAATAATTTCTGAAATACCAAACTGACTAACTGTATCAGGAAATGAAATAAGTGTTGTAATGTATTTTGGGCCAGACTTGACATATATTTAATTTTCAAAAGGCACTGTAATTTTTGCGAATCAACCTATACAAAAAAAAAAGTACCGGTATATGTAATTTTGCTCAATGTTGACTATATTGTGACAAAAGTCATCATAAATATGACTCACTTGTTGGCATCAGCCTGTAACAGGCCATCAGGCAATTTGTTAATATTGATATCAAAGTTGTGTTTCCTCAGCAGATCTTGTATGATATAGGCCAGTGTGTTCAGGTCAACCCCGTCATCATCCTTACGAAGCATGTAATGTCTGAAATATAAAACAATAAAATGTTGCAAATAATAATAATAATAATTAATGTTGTTCTGTTTTTATTTAGATATCATCTCCAACATTTTTCTTTTCATTTCCCCCCATTTTTATAAAGAAAAGAAAATTTAAAATGCTGCTGTAAACCAATCAAAATTAGGAGACTTTCAGTGATGGGCAGGAAAGGGGGAGGCTCATCTTCCTCTGCATCCATTCCCTGCTTCTGTCACATTGTAAATTCTAAATGATTTGTTATATTGCTCTATATTTACCTCCCAACTGTCATTATCTCATGCTCAGCCAGCCTGTTTTCTGAAAGCTGCATAAGGAGGTTTCTGAACTGCTCGTACTGGACATTGCCTGTGTTTCCGGGGTCATTACGCATGAAGAAAGACTTGACCTCTTCTGTTTTGCCCTTGGAGAGCTCCTTCAGTTTCTCAAAGATTCTGTCAACGTTAGCTTGTGGGAACTAAAAAGTAACATAATGATAATTTTATATTAAAAAATTAAACAAAGAGATACCAGTATACTCATTTAAAAAATATCCCTTGATATTTGCGGATTCAAAAACTGAGAATGAAAAAAACACAGAATATTTAAAAAACCAATCAAAAGAAATATCTTTGATTAAATTTGATTTTTACACTGGATGTCAATCACTAAAGGATCAATGAAAAAAAGAACATTTTCAAATGTATAAGACTTCCTCAAAATGAAAATAATATCATCAAATAAAGAATAAAATTTTTTTTTCAAGTCCTCACCTCATCACTATGTTGCTCCATGTACCTAAATGCATATTCATCAGCATCAATGAGCAGGAACTTGTGGTTGTTGAAGATGACCAGTCCTCCTACATACAGATCTGGTGCCATGTAGTATTCGGACAGCCGTGTGCTGTATGGAGGCTGGTCGGGCTTCTTCACGCGGCCACGCTCCAGGAATTTGCCGCCAATGATGCCTGTGAAAAAAAGGGAGGAAAATCATCAACAAACTGAATTTCATGCACTGGATTCTTATTATTAAATCATTAAAAGAAAGAAGAAACATTAAAGAATTTTACATGATATGATTTATTTCTAATTAAAGACTGCTTTTTATATATTCAGTTTATTTACAGGGGATTTTTTAATGGGGTTTTTACATTTCCTATTATGAAACTTGCATTAATTATTGCTTTTTTTAAATTTTGAATAAAAAGTTTGACAATTAAGTAATGCTCAGTAATTTCTTTTCAAAATAAACCAATAAGAAGAAAATAAATTTAATTTAATAGGAAAATAACCTACCAGAGTTCCTAACAGGAGGCTCAAACACCAATATAGTGTCATCAGACAGGAAATAGGAGATGATGAAGCGACGGTCCATATCGATGGGCTTTGTGGTATCCATTCTAGCCAAGAACCGTAGTACATTGCTCTCCAGTCCGTGGCGATCCTTCTCCATGAATTTGACGAAATCTCTCCTGGGTGGCTTGGGGATAAGGCCCATGCAGGAACACAGAGAGTCCTCCTCACTGCCAAATCCATTGTATGGTGGCATCTCTCTTGCCTTGCGGCCCTGGGGGGTACCCTTGTACTGAATGGGTGTAAAGTTGTCTGTAATTGGAGAAACATTTTGTCAGTAAATTTTTTAGCTTTATTACAATGGTTAATCAAAATGTTTTTCAGTTGCTGCAGAGTCAAAAATGTCATGCCAGATATGGTTTCATTTCTTTTTTAATATGATATTGAAATAATGAATTATTACTCAGCATTTACTGTTTACAAAAACTGAATATATAGAAATTAAAAAAAATTATTCCAATGGTATCCTACTTTTTAAAAGCATTTCAATTTAATTTTAAAATATTACATATAATCTTCAGAAAGTATGTAATAAAAATCACCTTTCAAAGTAATGATAAAATATGAAATAAGATGCATGGCATATATTTGAAAATAATAATTAAAAAACTTAACCTATATAATACTTACTGATGCCGTACTTGGTCCTGTAGTACTCCTTAGTGAAGTCATCAGCGTCACATAGCAGGATCTTCCTCCCCCAGGCGCTGACCACTGATCCAATCATCAGATCACTGTCCTTGTAGAACTCCTCGTGGACAGCACCAGTCTGGACAAGAAAATAATACATATATGGTTGAACACCATTTGTTTGAATTGTCTAAAGTACTAACAGGTACCAGGGCATGTGCCCCCAATTTCTTTATATTTTTTTTTTCATTCACAGACATGCCAAATGGAATAAAATAAATAAATAAATAAATAAATAAATAAATAAATAAATAAATAAATAAATAAATAAATAAAAAAATAAATAAAAACTTCTAGGTCTATGCAGTGCGAAAAAAAAAATATATATAAATACATATGTGTGTGTATTATCTGTTTTTCATGTGCTTTTTCAATATGCTAGAAACATTCAAATTAACCCATGCCAAAATGGTTTTCACCAAAAGAGAATAAACTCACCTTCAGACTGTCCAGTATGTACCTTCCACCATGTCCAGTTGGTCCAAAGACATTCAGGACAGTGCGGTCAGTTTTCTCACCAGGCTGGCGTAGACTGGACACCTCTTTAGGCAGTCTGGCCCGACGCAGGAACATTGGAGCGGCATCACGTCCAGAGTTAGCCTGAATGATCTCACGGATTTCTATTGTATCATCAGCAAGGAAATAGTGAAGGACCATCTGTCTAGGGTCACCAAACATGCTGTCGGTGTCATCCCAGTGGCAGTAGAAACGCAGGACATGACGGTCATGATCCAGAAATTGTTTGAGGGTGTCGTACTTCTCATATGGTCTCATTGGCTGCATAGACTCATCCATCTATTAAAATATGTAAGTGATGAATATAATGCGATGATGCTTTAACTTTTAAAAAATTGTTTGAAAGAGTAATTTTCATTTTAAAAAAAAGAACTAAATTAAAAATTGCAACAATACATTTACATTATTACTGAGTGCAGTTCATAGTACGTAGATTAACCGAAGAAAATACAAAATAATCAATTATCATAAAAAAAAAATTTGCTTGGCACCAGAAACAACAAAAAATTAATTAAATAATATAATCTAATGACTTAATAATATTTATAAAAGTTAGTGTAATACTTACAGCTTTCCTGTACTTGGTATAAGGGTCAGCTGGTACAGCCTCTGGAGCATTTACCTTCACTCCAAGTTTACGGAGGAAATTGTGTGTAAACTCATCACAGCCTGTGATCTTGAATATGCGAGAGTAAAGGTTCACCTCATTGCCCACATTGAAGTCTTCCACGGTGTAGAATGTGTCGTCATATGGAGCAGGCCTGGGTATTCTGTGACGGCGGATAAGGGTTCCTGGAAATTTGTTTGAAAGGGTATAAATAACTGAATCACATACTAGTATTAAAATTTTAGAAATTTCATACAAATATGAGCTAATTCATTTTAAAATGCACTTACTGCAGAGTGATGATCTGTGACATACATTTCTTATTTTGGATTTGATGACTGACAACAATTTTGCAGCAAATACAATTTTATGTACACACTGATAATGCTGCTAATCTATGCACTGGTATACCAGTATTAACAATGTACATGTAATTGAATGACTAATAATTTCAATCATTCCATTTTTATATTACAATAACAACTTACCTTGAGGAACACCTGCATTTTTCATTCTTGGCTCTATAACTTGGATGGAGTCATCTTCCAAGTAGAAATAAATTTTGCTGTTACGGATTCTATACTGTTCCTCTCTCTTCTCGTGTACAGCTTCTTGAAAATATGCATCAAAACACAAAACCTGTCTGTCAAAAGCCACCCAAGCTGGCAAATTTCCACCCTCTCCAGAAGGGAAAACGCTGTTCTTTGGTGTGATTTTCTGCCCTGCTAAAAGCTCTCCACCAATCCCAGGTTTCTCTTCACCAACCATCATAGATACTTCATTGCGATAGTCAAAGTGGTGGGATTTATGATAACGTGTTTTCCCCAGCTAGAAAAATAAAAATAAATACAAAGAGTTAACTACTTTTTAATGCAAAATTTAACAGTTATTAGTTTGGTAAAATGCACTTGTATGCCATTAATCATAAAATGTACAGTGTTGGGAACTATACATAGTAGAGAAGTTTATAAAATTAAAAATTAAATTATAAATTATAAATTGAAAAATATAAGAACATAAACATTATTTTCCATGTATAAATTGCATAAAAACCAATATCAGTCGGCAGTTTTATGAGAGTTACTATGCCCTAACAGTACAAACCGGACGACGACTAAATGCATTACTTTACGAAATTGATTAGAAACTTAGAAAGTGTTAAAAGTTGCTAAGCCTAAAATACATTTCTGTCTTTCTCCATAGATACAAACACCAAAACTGTTACTCACATTAGGATTAAAAGAATTCCCTGGCAAGTTTGGTAATGCCATGCTTGCCTCTTGATTCCACAATTTCTGCAATAAAATATATTTTATGTGCTCTGCACCTTGTATACTCTGGTTCCCTGCTACACTTTACAAAATCAATGAATACATGGGCAGCGTGTTGTGTTTGTAGGTTACCATGGGAGGCGATACCAACCAATAGAGTACAGCACTACCAAGATAAGCCAAAATAGCCTCGCTACAGTTACAGCAATTTTAAGTCTGTGTTACTATATATTTTATATCTCTTCATATCTTCAAATCTATCATTAACAACAGTTTGTAAGATTCAACCAGATTTATCTATAATATTTACCATTGTGTGTCTCAAGCCATCATGTAAGCGTTTCTTGGGTTTCTTGGGTTTGGAGTTCGAAATACTCACATTCTCAAATACCCGGATTATCTGTAGCAGGCGGAAAATTTTTCTCTGCATTGTTATTTCTGTTTTTAGTGTTTTCATATTTCTGAATAGCCCTGCAATTGTAAAACAACCAAAGGTCTGGTAGATAGTTGTCAGCAATATGCCACGGGTTAAATGTCAAACAGAAATATGTAAGATACAGGATTGTTTGAAGGGTGAGTAAGTTAATGGTTACCGGTAGTCGTTGACGTTTTTGGTTACACAACTGTTGGAAAATATTTTTGTTTCATTCTCACTGTATAAGCATGATTTAGTACTCATCTAAAATCTTTTTTTTTAAAGATGATATCAACTCGCACTCTTGAATTCAAAATGAATGACAAAAACCAAAAGTACCTACTTCATATACAATAC